TTTAACTTTTTTTGCATATTATGTACGATGGATTGTGTGTGCATGTAAATTACAATAAATGAATGAAGAAAGTTAAGTGTATCTACCCGAAAATAACGAACTGAAAAATAACCATAATAACATAACTCCCTCGCTCAACCTGCTGGTAGTCTCTCCTCGACATATGACATATTCGACTTACGAAAACCCGGACACACGACGGCCATGGTCGTATAAAATATTTTTCACCCCCATTTTAGAATATCTATGTATTATTTTCACCTTTTCGACTTACGACCAAATCGACTTATGACCTGGTCGTCGGGACGGAACCTCGTCGTAAGTCGAGGAGAGACTGATATACAAAGAAATGTTTATTAGCTTATGATTTATTTGTGAGTTGATAAATATTCATAAAGTAACTCACACAGTGAGCGAGAATACGTATCTGTGCATCTCTCCAAATTGGCTGGCCCAGCTGCCTCCTGACTCCTGGTGCATGTGATTTGAATTTATGCTCGGACCAAAATTCGTGTGACCTAGGGTAACTCTCGTTACATAAGAAAGAGGTATTAAATTGGAAGTTTCTACAGGTATCCCCTTATTTACGATGAGGTTACGTTCCTGAAAAGCCCATCGCCGATCAAAATATCATAAATTGTGATCATTATAACACGGAGTTCAATGGGATACATTCCCTGTCAGTCAGACACCCACATACCCGGTATATCACCAAAAAATTAAATTCCTACACTAATAATATACAGTACCTGCAATACATTTAAACACTCACCACATCATTAACAACAAGCCTGGTCGCGATTACATGCCCCTTTTGAGGCTTAACCCTTAAACCTCGGGTTAGGGAGTGGCTGGCAGTAAATCGAGAAAAATCAACTTTTCCAAAAATAATTTTTAACCTTTTAAAATGATAAAGCAATTATAAATAAGTAAGAACAACTTCCCTGGCTGCAGGGAAGGAGGGAGGGAAGATAAGGAGACAGGGTTGGTTTGACAGCTGATGCTCGTGGTCCCTACGCACTTAGCAGCTATTTTTAGCTCTCCTTTGTGTCCGAGGTGACCAATAATGTATATATTTACCGATCTTAATTATTTGCTATAAATGTTTCATTTAGAATTTTTAATTTGCCTAATTTTTCATTTAAAGTGCTTGGCAATACTCACCAGTCGGTCGCCAGGCTGTCTTTGTGTTTGGTAGAGCAAGTAATGTATACAATAATAATATTTCCACAAATAAATACATTTATAACAATCATTGCATTGTTTTACAGTAATACTACACTACACAAAAGTAGGTAATTATGTTAAGGAAGCTTCCCTGTGGCCGAGCATGTGATGTGACAGGCAAATAGTCACACTGGAACCTGATAACCCGCGCTGGGCATTGAAACAGTAGCGGGATTAGGTGGACGTTCTGGAACGTCACCCGGGGCCTAAGGGTTAAGGGGACTCTTGAAGCTTCAGTGGAGACGTCTAGCTTCACCTCCAGAAACATGGTTTTCCCGGGTGCCTTGGCCTTCCCAGACATTTGCAAACACTGTTCACTTTACAGTCACAAAAACAAAGCAAAGGTGCTTGTCACTAAAACAGAGCGAATTATGGTGTAAGTACAATGATAGCGGCTGACACTGCTTACATTATATTCATAACAACAGAGGCAAAGCACTTTACAGTGACCAAAAACACAGCAAAAATCAATTCACAGTCACTAACACAGAGTACAATGTGAACATTAGATATGTCCTCTCACTGTAAGGTAAAAAAAAAAAAAAAAAAGAAAAGAAAAAATGTAACAACACCAATACCGACCGATAATCGTTGAGCTACCCAATCACAGCCATGTGTAATCACCATGGAAGAAAACATGGGAGTGTAGTGCAGCGGGTGGTGGCGCACAGGAGACCGCAGCTGACAAGTGTGCCGAGAGATGCGTTCCATATTCCACGTTGGCCGGACGATGACCATCATTCATGCAATTTTTTTTATCGTACACAGGGGGGTGGTGTTAATACATCACCATCGTTCAAGCAAAATATCGAAGATTGGGAGATCATAAATCGAGGATACAGGATAAGTGAATTTTCGTACCCCAAATATTCATAAAGCGAGGGATACCTATAATGGTAAGCATTCCACACTACCTACTCGTTCTCTTTCAACATCTTGTATGTCACACTAACATTCACAATTTCTCCTTCACTTCCAAACACACCATCTGGTATATCCCACCTTGGCTAACACTCTCTCTATTAATGGTTTTCTTCTCATTAGTTTGAGCTCCTATAATACTCCACAGCCCTGCTCCCAGTTTTTATTCTTAACCCCTTGCCTTCAGATACTTGTGAATTAACTCCCCTCACATCTTTCAACATTATATGCACAAAACTAATATATACAGGACCTTTCCATTCATCTTGGTTTTAATCGGTTTTCTTTTTCTAAGTAAACATGTGCACCTTCAGACATCCCATTCTTATTGTTAACTTTCCTTTCTTTTCCACCAATATCATTAACTCTCCTGTTATTAACACCCTAACCTTCCTTACAGTACAGTATACTTCTATACACAACACACGAAACTATAACTTATTTATTTTTACTACGTAAACTTTCACCACATTATTGATATGCCGATTTTTTTCACAATTTTTCCATTAATTAATGCCAAAAATATTCTACACAAGCTTCCACCATATCAATATATTTTAAGAATCAGTGCAGTTCAAGTTTCCAAGTTTACCTGGTGTTCAGAACAATGACAAATATGTAAACAATAAAAATAAATAAATTATAACATTGAAACAAAACTATGTTATGGTACAGTACCCTTTCTAACCATCTCTCTTTTAACACAAGACCAGCCAATCATATCAAATTCTGCCTTCATTTGTTGTCAATCTTGTTGTTACAATAAAAGCTGTGTTTTACTGTACTTGAAAAAGGCCTCAGATCTACTTTACCTTAAACACTTAACATTCGCCAGCATTATACTGTGCTGTACTAGCAGCACATCCTTCCCCAAAATAAATCAACATCAAAGCCTCTAACTCATTAATTTACATTGCTGTTTCCTGGCTACCTGTCCCTTTCACTTCTAATGCATCTTTCATCCCATTCATCCATCTCCTCCTATCATCAACCTCTTACTAATACAGTATATTATTTTGACCTATCTTTCACTTGTCTCTAAGTTGTGTATTTCTTAGTCTTTGTTTACCCCACAGATTGTTCTTCCACTTGTTATTGCTCTCATTATATTTTACAGTACTCCTTCATCTTGCCATTGTTCCCTCTTTCTCCACATATTTTTCTATCCACCTATCCTTGTGTGGTTCACTCCTCACTTCACAAAAGGACACATCCACTCCTAGGTATACTGTACTGTACTTTATCTATGTTAGCTCCAACAGTTTTGTCCCCTTTTTTCATTACTTTATATTAACTGTAAAGTTTCTTCTGCTACACATTCTTCAAAAAAAAAAAAAAAATAAATAAATAAATAAATAAATAAATAAATAAATAAATAAATATATATATATATGTATGCTGATAACCACAAGGAAAGAAGAAAACACGAAGTTCCCAAGCGCTTTCGTGTAATTCACATCTTCAGGGGTGAGTACAGACTAGAGAGAGTAATACAAATCAAGGTGTATATATACAGAGGAGGGTGAGACCAGGTCCACAATGGTCAGGTATTAGGTAATGACCCTACTAATCTTTAAATAGCACACAACTGTTGGTGGTCAGGTCAGATGGTCAAGTGACCCGACCTTCTCACCTGGTTACAAATCTTCTTAATCACAAAATTGTCCAGCTTGTACATGCCGTTATTCAAATTCATGTTGAATTGGTGGCAATGTGGATTTGACCTGACGTGATTTACTTGCATATATATCTGTCTATCTATATATATATATATATATATATATATATATATATATATATATATATATATATATATATATATATATATATATATATATATATATATATATATATATATATATATATATATATATATATATATATATATATATATATATATATATATATATATATATATATATATATATATATATATATGCAAGTAAATCACTGTAGGTGCGTGATCTAGGTATATGCTGATAACAAGGAAAGAAGAAAACACGAAGTTCTTTAAGTGTAATTCACATCTTCAGGGGTTGCATTTATAAAGTTCCTTGCAAGGAATGTAATATGTTTTACTTAGGCCAGACAGGTAAAGATCTTGTAACTAGACTTAAACAACACAAATACAGTGTTAGGACAGGCCAGGAATCCAATGCTCTGTTTGTTCATTTGAGGGATAACAAGCATTGCATTGACTGGGATAATGCCTCCTCAATATCACCTTGTAATTCAATTGATAGTAGGAACATCATAGAATCTAGTCTCATTAAACATACCGAAGCATTCAACATGAATATGAGTAATGGTATGTACAAACTGGACAATTTTGTAATTAAGAAGATTTGTAACCAGGTGAGAAGGTTGGGTCACCTTACCCTCTGACCTGACCACCAACCATTGTGTGCTATTTAAAGATTAGTAGGGTCATTACCTAATACCTGCCCATTGTGGACCTGGTCTCACCCTCCTCTGTATATATACACCTTGTTTTGTACTTCTCTTTAGTCTGTACTCACCCCTGAAGATGTGAATTACACGAAAGCGCTTGGGAACTTCGTGTTTTCTTCTTTCCTTGTGGTTATCAGCATATATATATATATATATATATATATATATATATATATATATATATATATATATATATATATATATATATATATATATATATATATATATATATATATATATATATATATATATATATATATATATATATATATATATATATATATATATATATATATATATATATATATATATATATATATATATATATATATATATAAACCCCAAAGATATGAATCAAACATTGAAGAAAGATCCTCCATTTCTTTCCTTGGGTTAATCACCTTGTTTCCTCCCGCCAGACGGTATGTTTCAGTATCTTGACAAAATACATATTGTGGTTCCTTGTTCTCTTCCTCCTCCCCCTTCTCTTGTTCACTTTGCTCCTGCCTCTCTTGGTACCCGTCTGTGTCGTCTGCCTCTACTGGAGTCAGCCCCCAATCATGCTCACTTCCGGAAGAGCTACCACTAAGCACGTAGTTCCTCTATCAAGCATGCAGGTTAAAGTATTGCATGATTACACACCAGAGCAGGATTGGGGGAGGGAGCAAAAAGGAGAAAAAGAAAAAAGAAACAAGCAATAAGCAAAACAAGTGGTACAGTACAGTATATGTATTCTACAAAGGACATAAAAATAAAAAATGTAGTAAAAATATGTACTGTAATAAATAATTATAAAACATACCCTAGATGGTTTTCAATAAATAAATAAAAATTCCTTTTACTGTAGTGAGCATTCCTGAGGATTTGTAGTGATAGCTACATTTTGTGGCTAACACCTACACAAGGTGGTGTTGGACAACTAGCACTGTTATGTAGTGAGGAACAAGCTCCTTGAGCATGCAAATACTACCCCTCATCTTTTCCCATGCATGACCCCGAGATAATCAATACACGTTTGACATATTTTAAGGACGATTACCTCTGTTAGTGCTCTACTTATAACTTTACCATCATACTGAAATTAAACCCAGGATGATTGTTGGTGTTCAGATTGTCTTTTCCAGATACCGATACTGTATAATTGGAATAACAGGTGATGGTTGATGGATGACTGCAGAAGAGAGAGCAAAGTCTGGTACAGCAGCAACTGCTGGCTGACCATTTGAGAATACAGTACTGTAGCATGAGTCAGGAACTGCTAACCTGCTTGACAATGGGACGGTCAAAGGTTTGTGGATAAAAATTTGAATCATCGTCGGAATCGTCATCAGTGTCAAGATGATGATGCATCCCCTGAACCTGAGAGATGAAGAGTGACAACACATGTTGTTGAATGATGGTCTTGGCCAACTAACTACTGAGAAGAGGATTTTTTCAATTACTTAATACTCTACAGTACCCCAGATCAGTTAAATAGTAATGACTTCCTTGGCTCCATTACATAACAACAACCATTATGCTTTGATTGGAAAAGCCTCAATAAGTCTATTTTGGTCTTATAGTTAAGAAGTTCACACAATTTTGATGTGTAAGACAAGGAGTTCTCTTCCCAACAATGTGCATCAAGCCCACAATATCTTCGTTGTACAATACAGTATATGAGGGAAGAGAAGCTTAAACCAGTTAGGTATAAAGATAAATTGGGACAGCAACATCCAAGTCAGTTAAAATGTAGCCTCCATATAGGGTGCCAAAAGAAAAAATAAGTAAAGCCTCTGTATGTCAAAAAGTATAATAAGGCAGTCTTCATTTGTCACTGTATTATGCCTGCTTTAGCTAGCTTCATCACATCCCCTCATTTTTATATCAATTCTAATCAGCCAATTCTCGTTTTATACCTGAAATTTCTTTGTGACAGTGGAATGGAAGGCAATATTTATGACACCAACAGGAATCCTGCATCACAGGCAACAATGCAGCCTATATTTACCATTTACCCCTCAAGCTGACTCTTACATCAAGGTCATCCTCATTGCACTTCTCACAAAAGATCATCACTGTTCACTAAACTTTTAAACAACACAAATTACACCTTTCTTGTTACTTTTCCCCAGAGCACAATTTAAATCATAAGGTTTAATTACTGATAAAAAAATATGCTAGCTTGTGCAAAAGGAAACAAAATTAAAACTTATGAAATAAGCTTGGTGGCACTTACAACTAAAACTGTGTGAAGAGTATTCAGCTTTAAACAAAATGTAAACACACATTAACAAGACAAAAGGATGAAATGGTAATACACTGCACACTTCATGCATATATAAGCTTTACAAGGCGATGCAAAAAATGGTGCGCATTTACTTTAGTGAGATCATGTGCACACGCATGCGCACACACATGCATGCACGCACACACGCATGCACACTTGTATGCACACGCACGCACGCACACACACACACGTATGCACATGCACGTATGCACACGCACACACACTACACTTAACTCCTTCCTGAACCAAACTTTAAAAACCTGTAAAACATTTCAATACATATTACCACTTAATTCAGTCAGAACAACACAAGCATAGCCAAACTACATACCATACATAATGGTTGCCCCTTGTGTTTGAGGATGACCAGTCCTAGAGCCAACTATGCATGAATTTGTTTATGGTGTAGAAGCTGTCACCAACACAACAATCACACCCCAAGTTAAACAAGCTGCATGACCCACTGTCAGGGAATAGTTCGAGAAGACCAGACAACTTCACTGGCTAACCATTACCATAGAACACAATCTAGGTTCCCAAATACTGCTGGATAGACAGTGGCAAATGGCTTATAAGAAACTTGCCTATAGCTTCACCCTGCGGGGGATCAAACCCGGGTCCACTCGTTTGCGGGACGAGCATGCTGACCATTACACCACAGGTGGTCATACATTCAACCACATAACACATACAGAAACACAACACATTCAGTCTTACAACTTATAACCACACAACACACACACACAATCAGTCTTACAACTTATAACACAACACATTCAGTCTTACAACTTATAACCACACAACACACACACACAATCAGTCTTACAACTTATAACACAACACATTCAGTCTTACAACTTATAACCACACAACACACACACACAATCAGTCTTACAACTTACAACCAACACATTCAGTCTTACAACTTATAACACAACACATTCAGTCTTACAACTTATAACCACACAACACACACACACAATCAGTCTTACAACTTATAACACAACACATTCAGTCTTACAACTTATAACCACACAACACACACAATACAATCAGTCTTACAACTTATAACACAACACATTCAGTCTTACAACTTATAACCACACAACACACACACACAATCAGTCTTACAACTTACAACCAACACATTCAGTCTTACAACTTATAACCACACAACACACACACACAATCAGTCTTACAACTTACAACCAACACATTCAGTCTTACAACTTACAACCAACACATTCAGTCTTACAACATAACACAACACATTCAGTCTTACAACTTATAACCAACACAACACATTCAGTCTTACAACTTATAACCAACACAACACATTCAGTCTTACAACTTATAACCAACACAACACATTCAGTCTTACAACTTATAACCAACACAACACATTCAGTCTTACAACTTATAACCAACACAACACATTCAGTCTTACAACTTATAACCAACACAACACATTCAGTCTTACAACTTATAACCAACACAACACATTCCAGTCTTACAACTTATAACCAACACAACACATTCAGTCTTACAACTTATAACCAACACAACACATTCAATCTTACAACTTATAACCAACACAACACATTCAGTCTTACAACTTATAACCAACACAACACATTCAGTCTTACAACTTATAACCAACACATTCAGTCTTACAACTTCAGTCTTACAACTTATAACCAACACATTCAGTAACAACTTATAACCAACACAACACATTCAGTCTTACAACTTATAACCAACACAACACATTCAGTCTTACAACTTATAACCAACACAACACATTCAGTCTTACAACTTATAACCAACACATTCAGTCTTACAACTTTCAGTCTTAATAACCAACACAACACATTCAGTCTTACAACTTATAACCAACACAACACATTCAGTCTTACAACTTATAACCAACACAACACATTCAGTCTTACAACTTATAACCAACACAACACATTCAGTCTTACAACTTATAACACAACACATTCAGTCTTACAACATAACCACACAACACACACACACAATCAGTCTTACAACTTATAACACAACACATTCAGTCTTACAACTTATAACCACACAACACACACACACAATCAGTCTTACAACATAACACAACACATTCAGTCTTACAACTTATAACCACAACACACACACACAATCAGTCTTACAACACAACCAACACATTCAGTCTTACAACTTATAACCACACAACACACACACACAATCAGTCTTACAACTACAACCAACACATTCAGTCTACAACTTACAACCAACACATTCAGTCTTACAACTTATAACACAACACATTCAGTCTTACAACTTATAACCAACACATTCAGTCCATATGCAACTTACTAACCAACACAACACATTCAGTCTTACAACTTATAACCAACACAACACATTCAGTCTTACAACTTATAACCAACACAACACATTCAGTCTTACAACTTATAACCAACACAACACATTCAGTCTTACAACTTATAACCAACACAACACATTCAGTCTTACAACTTATAACCAACACAACACATTCAGTCTTACAACTTATAACCAACACAACACATTCAGTCTTACAACTTATAACCAACACAACACATTCAGTCTTACAACTTATAACCAACACAACACATTCAGTCTTACAACTTACAACCAACACAACACATTCAGTCTTACAACTTATAACCAACACAACACATTCAGTCTTACAACTTATAACCAACACAACATAATGAGTTTCAAACTTACCACCAAATAATATGCATGCACGCACACACACACACATGAAATATATCACTATTTAGTATTTCTATGCTTTGATAAGTTTACATCTCCTACTAGACATATTGAGTAGTACTATTGTATACTATTATGGAGTAAATAATCTTACCGGTAAAGGTGTAATCTCATTTTTACGATTGACTTCTGCTAAAGCATTGGACACAAAGTCATCCCATTGTGTAGCTTTATCACCAGGGAGATCCTAAAAGAAAATTAATTATGAGTATTCTTAATAAGGCACCAACAGACATGTAAAATACTATGCAGCTAAATGCACAGCTCTATGTGTATGATGATTTACATACACAGTAGGTACAGCCCCCTTCACTTGTGCATTTACAGGGGCTTGTCATCTAAATATTCCACAAATCAATATCTTTTGAGATATTTATTTTAATATTGTTGCGAGTTTCCTTGTGTTGAATGTAAACAAACACAGGGCTGCCACAAAACCTGACGACCCACTGTAAACGTACAAGTGAAGGAAACTGTACATAAGTATAAATGCTACTTGTGTATACTGTACTTTAACTGTATGTGTTTGGGATTTCATTACAAGCAAAACTCTAAATTTTCTGTATGCAGAACTTACTATTCAATATAACAAAAACTTCCATAGTTTAATATAAATATGGGTTAATAAAAAGAAGGTGACTTAATGAATAACAGAGTTCCTCCTACATTAAGTCAAATGTAATGTAAAAATTATGGATAAAAAAGTCTGGTGGGTTTACCTAACCAAGTTTACAGATGACAATACTGGTGAACACTTTGTTTCATCATGACCTTTACTGAAAGGCTTGTACTATACATATACTGTATTTGTCAAAACCAATGATTAAGTATTTCAAGGATAAAAGTAATTCATAGATAATGGAATAATTCAGGTTGAAGTAAAAATAAGCCAACATAGTTTATAGGACTATACTATACTGTACTGTGCTATGCTATGTTATACCTTACTGTACTGCACTGTACTATGCTATACCATACTGTACTGTACTGTGCTGTGCTATGCTATACCATACTGTACTGTGCGATGCTAAGTTATACCTTACTGTACTGTACTGTGCTGTGCTGTGCTGTGCTATGCTATGCTATGCTATACCATACTGTACCGTACTGTATTGTACTGTACTATACTACTACTTTGCTGCAACTCGGAATCGAGTATGACGATTATCCAGCTATGACACAATGATATGAGTTATTAAGGATGTCACCTTTGTTGGTGAGTTTTAAGGTGACTAAAGAGGCCGATATGGGACTGGCAGAGTTGTTCACAGATGTTGCATGTGTGGAGGGCTACATCTAGTGCAGGAGGGGTGGCAGCATTATCTTTCCTGCATTGTCGCTCGTAAGCCTCGGTATGCAGTCAGGCTAACTCGAAAGTATTGACACCTTCTTGTGTGGTGCTCCTCCAAGCGTTGCAGAGTTGAGTAATTGTCTCCCAGGTGAGGGCTATACTATACTATATTATACCCCCATTGTTTAAGTTTAGCAGCTTTTTCTTCTCACATTAATGAAACATTCCTCTACCGTACAGTACATATTATGAGACTCGGCTACAACAATCACATGTTTCAAGAACTTATCTCTTGTACTGTACCTGGATCAGTCGCTTGATACGGTGCTGGTTGGGGCCAAACTCAGCCTGTTGAACAATAGTGTTGGCTAATTCTCTTAAGTGACCCATGTAGCCTTTGATATTATGGATCTGTTTAGTACTGCAAAAGACAAGAAGATAGTGTTACATGATGATGTATTTTTACATAATTATTACAACTCTGAAGACAAATAAATCTTACTTACTGTAACCAACCTATAATGCAGTGAAAATCATAAAATTTTAAGTAATATAATTTCACTGATTAATACAGTATTAAGCTACCCATTAGCAAGAATCAGCAATCCTCGGAACTTTCCATTACCTAGAAAAAAATTTGAATTCCAAGAAATTCTGAGAAAAATCTTTCCACTCCGGGCATTCAAATAACTTTCCGAGAGAGTGCATCATGTGCCGAGTGCATGGGTGTGTAGGCTCAGAGTGCTCATGAGCTTTGATTGGCTACGACTGTCATGCGACTGCATGGGATGCCTATGATTGGCTGATTTATCTCACAGCCTACCTCTCAACCTCCAGCATCGTGACACTCTCACTTCATCGTCTGTTGCCATTGTACAAGTTGTTTATTCGCTCACTGCTGTTTTTTGCATATGATCTGTGTTGTGCAGTATTGTTCATCACTGTACCAGGATACAATGAGGCAAAAATACTGTTAAAGCAGTGTTTAGACGTAAAACGTTATTACAGTTACGTACACTATACTGTCCATTCAGTAAGTGTGAAAGTATCATATGTACAGAACTGTACATAGTAAAGTGGATGCCTACTGTAGGCTAGTGAGTAAAGGGTGTATATACAGCATACAGTGTGTGTGCCCTCCTTCATGGAGCGTGACTACAATATAATGCATAAAGTAGTATATTTTGTTTATTTACAATAATGTACATGTACAGTAGTGTTTGCATAAATAAATACAGCTGTCTGTCCGGCAGCAGTTAAGCCTCTGTAACAGCGGTGCTCTGTACTAGATGTGTAGTTTAGACAGAGTAACATTCACCAATGCCCAGAAAAATTCCAGAAGAGAATTTGTCTCAATACCCAGAAATATCTCAAACCCAGAAACACTCTACATCAATTGTTCCAGCAAACACGGATATTACTGTACTGTACAGTAAAGCCTCCGATAACAACGGTTCAACCAACAACTTTTCACATTTAAAACCATAGTTAATTTAGGACCCATTTCAATTTACGACCAAAATATAATAAAAATAAAATAAATTTTTCATATAAATAATAACTAAATCTCGATATGTATTATAAAAAAAAAATGCTGTAAAAAAAAATTAAGAGTTCCCTGCACAAAGAAGCTGCCTTGCTAATGAATGGTAAACAACAGTCGGAGCTTGGCGGGCCTTATGTTTTCACGCATCTGGAACAGGAGACAAACTTTCTCAGGTTTCTTACAGCATTTTTGCATCCCTATTCAACATGAGCAAGAGAGCAAGTGATGGTAGTGTTGGTTCAAAAGCTATTAGGAAGTGTATAAGCTTAGCCGAGAAACTAGATGTGTTAAAACGATATGAAAAAGGTGAGAGGTCTATAGATATTATATGGAGCAAGCAACGAACACATTTTCTGAAGTGGATCCGTTAACAGAACAAAGCATTAAAATTTAACTAAAAGCAAAAGATTTCTACCTTCAACTTCAGCCAGAGTTGAACCTGATGACTTCGTCATCTGAGTCAAAACTCGCACAATATTCATTGGCTGTCCTTACGTTTTAGACTTTACCACCATTGGCGAGTAGAATTTTTATTTTACATTAGTAAATATCATTTAAAACATAAATGAACAGTAAATAAGGGTGGCTTTCATATTCATATGTAGAGAAATGACGATATGTTTTCACATGTATGCACTTACTGTTCATACGTTGGAGTTCCCAATCGTCTCGCCTTATTTCTTTACCATTAGTGGTTAGCTACTTCTAGTGTTCCATTTATTAACATTAAATAACATTACTTAAAACATACATACAGGTACTCAATTTGTTTAAATTAAGTTCACTACAGCTACAACCAGGGTCTTATTTTCTTCAGTTTCTTATGTAGAACCATCGTCACTCACGAAAACAATACCGTCTTGTCTCCTCGTGTGTGTTTTAATATTCTATGTATTATTATTTAATTGCATTGTTCATTTAACATATATAAACATTGATTCAATCAAATACATATTCAGTAATAAACAATAATGAATCTTTTGTACATATTCTTAAGATAAATTACTGTTTCCTTGAGTGTGCACGTATACATTGGCGTTCCACTATCAGTATCACTTTTCCTTCTACTGTACATTAAATAACATTAATTAAAATATACATAGTTTTTACATTCATTTTACTACAACAACAACCAGGGTCTTATTTTCTTCAGCTTCAGGTGGATAACTGACAATTATGGGTGTAAACACTGACAACAATGCCGTCTCTTATTCTCTTGTGTTTTTCAATATTCTACGTACAGTGGGGTATGCTATAACGAACGGATCCTACTACGAATATTCCTATAACGAACGGTTTTACCTATAAAATTGAGAATGCTATAACGAACGAAACTCCTACAACGAACATTATTTAATTTTTTTTTTTTCTAATTTATTGTTTTTTATTACAAGTATTAATGATACTCTTTATTTCAGGGGTTTAGATGCATATTTATGCACTTTTTTACAATTTTTACAATTTTATATTATATTTTTCAGTGTTAAGTGGTTGTATTTGGGGGCCTGGAACGGATTAATCCTATAACGAACGAATGCTATAACGAACAAGGTTCTAGAACCAATTAGATTCGTTATAGCATACCCCACTGTATTATTAATGAATTGTATTGTTCATTTTGCAAATATAAAGATTAATTCAATCAAATACATATTCAGTAATAAACAATAATGAATCTTTTGTACATATTCTTAAAAAGATAAATGACGCGGTATCCTTAAATGTGCACGTATATGTTGGCGTTCCCAATCCATCTCTTTTTTTTTCTTTACCATTAGTGGTTAGCTACTTTTATTGTTCCATTTATTAACATTAAAAAATATTACTTAAAACACACACATCTATTTTTTACATTAATTTTACTACAGCTACAACCAGGGTCATATTTTCTTCATTTTCTCGTGTAGAACTATCGTCCCGGACTCCCGGCTGTAAACACAAACAAAAACAATGGCGTCACATCTCCTCTTGTGTGACCACATTATTATTCATTTACTGTATATTGTATAAGGTCATTCAGAAACATTTTTTAAAGAATATAGTTTGCAATTTTCATTAATTGTTTTGTTTTGGGGGGAAAAGATGGCAAAAAGCCACACAAAAGATATGAAAAGGTCACACTTGGGAACGCATCTCATTATTAATGCTTTATTTTAATAGTAATTAATGATTCGCGATACGATGATTCACCTCACACTGCAATATTAGAAAACACATTAACGTCGTTATTCGAGGCTTTACTGTACTTGCATGAGCTTACTGTGCAGAGTATATTAAAACTTTATCTAGCATAATCTTATACTGGTCTACTCTACATTAGAGATATGCACACACTGAATATGATCGAAAGCAGTCAGGTTACTGAATGGTGCAGTATTGTTATTGTTATATGTACACAAGTTAACAGTAAAAGGTCAACACCCACACATAATTCAATCTATTCAAAGGAAACTGCACCAATCAGATGAAAGGTAAGATTTTCATCATAATGTAATTGTTTAAGACTGAGAGTGGTGGTGACATTCTTCTCACCATATCAAGTGTTGCTCCATACAGTCCATGTACAGTAGTTGAAGACCGATGGACACCAGACTACATAAGAGTATATTACTGAAGAAAGAACTTACTCATGTGGTTCAGAAGGTTCTTCATAGGCAGTTATAACTCGTTCAATGATACGACATTCGGTAAAAAGTTGAGTGAGCAAAAGATGGTCGGTTTCCCCCTGAGGTGAAGAGGCAATTGGGGCCTTGGTCAATATAGCTGTCAGGCACTGCTCTACTTGTGTGTGTAGGAAATTATTCAACATAAACTTGAAAAACAGATCCTGTGAAAGGAAAAAATAATTAGAAAAAATATCTAATACTTTATCTCCTTTAAGCACAGTTATATATACTGTACAAATTACATACATAAAAATCCCTGGTAAGAATAAATAACTTTCCCACCATATAAATTCCATGGTGATGGAAAGTAGTGAATACCTACAGGTACAGTAAAGGGGAGCATGGAGTGAGACAGTACCTCTCTCCCACCAGTAGTCACTCCTTAAACTAATAAGGAGGTTAGTGGAGTTTGGCTCACCCTTCTGACTCGGCTCATGTCTCTACCTCGTCGTGGTGCTCCCTGGTAACGACTTTGACTAGTCGGCCAACGAGATATGGGTAGCAGATGATATTATGTGAACCACTTGAAGTCACTGGCAGCGGGGTGACTGGTGAAATTCCTGGTAGGGTACGACAAACTGTATTCCCGGCAGTGATTTCTGGCGCTTAGCTCTATGATAAGGGTCACCTGCCCAAGTTAAATGGGAACTGCGCTACACGAGGAGGTGGCATCCTCTCTGGAGTACCTTGCTGATGAATCCTCCAAGGATTCCGCCAACCATTATGATGATTGACAACAATGATATAGCCCCCAGTCCCAGGCGAAGAGGGGTGCTAAGAATCTCCCGGTTTATCAATAAGACACATTATCAAAATTGTGACATGGAATGTTAGAACAATGACACAGGATAGTAAACTTGAACAGGTGGAGAGTGTGTTCAAACAGTACAAGATTGACATTATGGCATTGAATGAGACAAGATTGGGAGGAATGAATCGAGTAGTGACACCTGATGGAAACACCTTGCTTGTTTCCGGTAGAGAGGATGATTTAAGACGAGATGGTGTCAAGTTACTGTTGAGTAGAAGTGCATCGAGAGCGCTGACAGAATGGAAACCAGTTGGTGCAGGAAGAATGTTGTTAGCAAGACTGAAGTCTAAGCAAGCTAATATGAGCATTGCAGTGTGTTACACGCCTACAAATACCATACCAGATGAAGTGAAAGATGCTTTCTATGAGCAACTACAGGATGTTTTGAGCAGTATTCTGGACAGAGATATAAAGATGGTTCTAGGCAACTTTAAAGCGAAGGTGGGAAGCAATAACCGTGGCATGGAACATGTCATGAAAAAATAGAGATTGGGCGAGGCTAACGAGAATGGTATGCGTTTGATCAGTTTGTGCTCGGCTAAGAACCTTGTTATTGGCGGGGCAATGTTTAAGCATAAAGATATTCATAAGTATACGTGGATATCTACAGATGGGAACTATCGCAATCAGACTGACCATGTTATGAGTGGTAAGCAGAGGTGCAACTCGCTATGAGATATGAGGACGTATGGAGGTGCGGATGTCGGAAGTGACCACCAAATGCTTGTGGCAACCATACAGTTGAAATTAGAAGCGAGAGAGAGACACGAGGAACTGACTCGCTATGATACCAAGAAACTGCAATAGATCCCCAGATTAAAGAAGAGTTTCAACTTGAATGCCACAACCACTTCATTGTACTGGAGACAGTGAATGAAGAGGAACCAGCGTGTCCCGGGTGATGTTCCAGAACGTCCACCTATTCCCGCCACTGTTTCAATGCCCAGCGCGGGTTATCAGGTTCCAGTGTGACTATTTGCCTGTTACATCACATGCTCGGCCACAGGGAAGCTTCCTGAACATAATTTCCTACTTCTGTGTAGTGTAGTATTACTGTAAAACAATGCAATGATTATGTTAGAAATGCATTTATTTGTGGAAATATTATTATTGTATACATTACTTGCTCTACCAAACACAAAGACAGCCTGGCGACCGACTGGCGAGTGTTGCCAAGCACCTTAAATGAAAAATAAGGCAAATTAAAAACTCTAAATGAATCATTTATAGCTAATAATTAAGATCAGTAAATATATACATTATTGGTCACCTCGGACACAAAGGAGAGCTAAAAATAGCTGCTAAGTGAGTAGGGACCACGAGCATCAGCTGTCAAACCAACACTGTCTCCTTATCTCTCCCCCCCCCCCTCTCCTCCCTCCATGTGGCCAAGGAAGTTTCTAGAGGGTCATAATATAGTTTTTCTTATTTATTTTTTATTGTTTTATCATTTGAAAAGGGTAAAAAATATTTTGGAAAAGGCGATTTTCTCGATTTACTCCCACCGGGGTTGCTGCCAGCGGCACCCGAACCCGGGGCTTAAGGGTTAAATACAATCATGAAAAGGGCTCAAGATAGAAATGGCTGGTGCGAGTCGTTGGAGTCGGTAACAGGTAACAGTAAAGGACTACTGTATGGTTGGTTTTGTCTTGTCTCTGATGGATAATTATGCTTGACAGCTACATAAGATGTTCGGTTCAATAACCTCTTAATGGTTTACATGTTATGGAACTGGCAAGCCTACTTATCAGCCACGAATTTGTACACAGAGATGTGGCAGAGAAGCAAACTGTAATATAGTCCAGTCAAATTAGCACAAAAACCAGCAAATAGCAGAAAAAATATAAAGTTAAAATTTTGCACACATACTGCTGAAGGTTATGCCAAAAAAAATCAAAAGAGTTCCCCTCTTTCTGACTGCAACAACCTCCCCTTTGGCAGCCCAAACCCCCCTTGAGGGGGCCTTTTTACTACATTTTCCCTATTGTTTGTAAAAAGGTACATCGGAATAAAAAGTTTATATAGAAAAAAATTCTACAAGAAAGAGAGAGAGAAAGATGTGTGTGTTAATATATACATTATAATGTAAACAAAATCCTCACCAGCAAATATTCAACTGTATTAAGTTCATAGAGGGCATTGTGGACGATGGGGTCATTGGCAACCACCAAAGCAGCTACCAAGGTCACAACCTGTAAGCGAGTACTTCCCAACGGCTCAACTTCTTGACCATACGCAGTTAATAATAAACCTTTCTGTAACAAAAAAAATATATTGGAAATAATTATAAGCATTTAGTGTATAAACACACTATGTAATGAGTTATATCAAGGAAGAAGACTATTATAAATATGTTTGACTTAAAGTCTTTTCCCACTAAACTGAAGGCAGCATGAATCGACAACACATGAACTCTCAGTTCATCTTCTGTCATCAATTCTTCCCATTGTAATACAGTACTTGTGTTAGACCCCACTTACCCCTGTCACTGCCTCACCCAGCTATGTTCTTCCCCACACATCATCATACTCTCCATTAATTCATCCACACTACTACAGGTACTTTCCTTCCCCTCACGCCATGGTCTCCCTCCCACCATCCATCTCTGCACCTTACTCTTACCACTGAACTTTCACTTCCACTTCTCCATTCCACTTGAGGAAACCTTCATCCACTCACCTCACATGTTCTCACTTCCACTTCTCCAGTCCAACTAAAGCTGCCAAGCAACACATGCTATAATAGGAGCAACATGGACAGCGGCAGGACTCCATTATTTTAGTTTGAACAAGTGTGTGTAATGGAAGTTTAATTTATGGCTTGTAAGAGCTCAGCAGTAACATCATACACCAATAAGAACCTTAGGTGGGTGAAGGAGAATATTATGAAGGCTCGGCAATCTCTTGGCTATGGTTCTGGCAACAATATTTCTCCTTCCGTCGCTGGAATCACTGTCGCTAGATTCTATGGACGTTGACTGTTGTAATCTGAAATTGGAGGAATCTTGTAAACTAACAACACCAACATGCAGTATATTAAACAATCTTTCCTACACCATTTTCCACATTACACGTAACATGTACAGTAGTCAAATAGAAACCTGTAAATATTAATGTCACATTTATATTTACCCTTGCTGCTGCTGCTGCTGCTGCTGCTGCTGCTGCTGCTGCTGTTGCTGCTGCTGCTGTTGATGCTGCTGTTGATGCTGCTGTTGCTGCTGCTGTTCCTGCTGCTGCTGCTGCTGCTGCTGCTGCTGCTGCTGCTGCTGCTGTTGTTGATGCTGCTGTTGATGCTGCTGTTGATGCTGCTGTTCCTGCTGCTGCTGTTCCTGCTGCTGTAATTGTAATTGCTGCTGTTGTTGTTGCTGTTGTTGTTGTTGTTGCTCTTGCTGCTGTGCTTGTTGGTGTGTTCGGGCAGCTAGTAGCGTTAGCAAAATGTTGATGACATGAGAAAGAGACGACTCATTGCGCTCTTCATGAAGAAGCAGGTCCAGCAATTTGTTTATAGTTTCTTCACTACAAAGGAAAATTATGTATTCTTTAGTGAAGTTTCTTAATGAATTACAGTAACAGTATTCAACAATATTTGCTACAGTACAATACTCCTGCAGGCTGACCCCAACCATACAGCGTATGGTGGTGGCCACAACTACAGCGTATGGTGGTGGCCACAACTACAGCGTATGGTGGTGGCCACAACTACAGCATATGGTGGTGGCCACAACTACAGCGTATGGTGGTGGCCACAACTACAGCATTTGGTGGTGGCCACAACTACAGCGTATGGTGGTGGCCACAACTACAGCGTATGGTGGTGGCCACAACTACAGCGTATGGTGGTGGCCACAACTACAGCGTATGGTGGTGGCCACAACTACAGTGTATGGTGGTGGCCACAACTACAGCGTATGGTGGTGGCCACAACTATTGTATGGTGGTGGCCACAACTATTGTGTATGGTGGCCACAAGTAGAATAAAGTACAATACTACATAAGTAGCCTCCTCTCTTACAAGGCGTGAGAAAAATTGTGTTGTACTGTACTGTACAGTACTGTACAGTACCAAAATATAATTAAAAAATAATAAAATTACATTTTCATATAAATAATAACTCAATCCCGATATGTATCATAAAAAAAAAATGTTACTGTAAAAAAATTAAGAGCGCCTTGCACAGAGAAGCTGCCTTGCTAATGAATGGTAAACAACATTCGGAGCTTGGCGGGCCTTTTGTTTTCACGCATCTGGAACAGGAGACAAACTTTCTCAGGTTTCTTACAGCATTTTTGCATCCCTATTCAACATGAGCAAGAGAGCAAGTGATGGTAGTGTTGGTTCAAAAGCTATTAGAAAGTGTATAAGCTTAGCCGAGAAACTAGATGTGTTAAAACGATATGAAAAAAGTGAGGGGTCTGTGGATATTATATGGAGCAAGCAATGAACACATTTTCTGCAGTGGATCCATTAACAGAACAAAGCATTAAAATTTAAATAAACGCAAACGAGAAAAGAAAGCAGCTGTGCAAGGTTCTTTCGACAGCTTTATTATTCAAAGGCCTAAGCCATCAACTTCAGCTATACCATCAAATTCAGCATCATAAGCAGCTTCAACATCAACTTCAGGTTCAGTAACAGCTTTATGGAAAACTACAGCTTCAGCCAGAGTTGAACCTACAGCTTCAGCCAGAGTTGAACCTGATGACTTCGTCATCTGAGTCAAAACTCGCACAATATTCATTGGCTGTCCTTACGTTTTAGACTTTACCACCATTGGCGGGTAGAATTTTTGTTTTACATTCGTAAATATTATTTAAAATACACTATAGATGAACAGTAAATAAGTGTTGCTTTCATATTCATTTGTAGAGAAATGACGATATGTTTTCACATGTATGCACTTACTGTTCATACGTTGGCGTTCCCAATCGTCTCGCCTTATTTCTTTACCATTAGTGGTTACGTAGCTACTTTATTAATATTAAATAACATTACTTAAAACATACATACAGATATTGAAGTTTTTTTAAATTAAATTCACTACAGCTACAACCAAGGTCTTATTTTCTTCAGTTTCTTATGTAGAACCATTGTCACTCACGAAAACAATGCCATCTTGTCTCCTCGTGTGTGTTTTAATATTCTATGTATTATTAATTAATTGCATTGTTCATTTAACATATACATTTGGGTCTCACTTTACGCGGTTAATGTAACCCACAGGGTACCGCGGAAAGTGAGAAACGCCTAAAGTGAATAACATAACATATGGGATTAAATGAAATAGAGACCGGCTGACCCCCAAACTCCACTTTTTCCGACACAATACCTATGTTCTAGTAAAAATAACATCTAAATTTTATGATGGTACATGCACACAATTAATACTTAAGAGAAATAGAGAAATACAGTTGCCAAGTTAATGTCCATTCAAATAATGGACTCAACTCCCTCCCCCTCTTCTCACACTACACTCGCTGGCTCTTCCCTTTCTGATAAATTTTGGGGGGAAAACCACTAGATTTTAAGGTATAGTAATAAATAATACCTCAAACTAAAGTTAGGATAATATAATTGGCATTGCTGGATTCCTGGTAAGACCAGGAATATTTTGAATATAAATGTCATATATTTAGCACAAAAGATAACATATTTACTCAGAATAAACATTAGATCTAAAATTTGTATGTCTAGTGCAAAATCTATGATGTTTATATTCAAAATGATCATCAAATTGTAAGAATTCCACAATGTAAATTATATTCTGGCCGGGTAATTTGTATGAATTTTATGAGCTAAAACAAATATCTTCAGTTAATAAAAAAAAAATATTCTTCACACCATGCCAGATGGTTGGTCGGTCCCTCCCTCCCCCCCACCAACCCTCCCTACCAGATAAATGTGTGGGAAAACCAGAATGTTTACCTTTTTAGTAATAAATAATACCTCAGACTAAAGTTAGGATAATATAATTGACATTGCTGGATTCCTTGTAAGACCAGGAATATTTTGAATATAAATGTCATATATTTTGCACAAAAGATAACATATTTACTCAGAGTAAACATTAGATCTAAAATTTGTATGTCTAATGCAAAATCTATGATGTTTATATTTAAAATGATCATCAAATTGTAAGAATTCCAGCAACATAAATTATATTCTGGCCGGATAATTTGTATGAATTTTATGAGCTAAATAAAAAAATTGTACTTCACCCGTGTAAAGGGGTACACGCACCGCGGAATGTGAGCATCCTGGGTTCTGGCAGGGCACCACGTAAACGTGGAAACGCGGAATGTGGGACCACGTAAAGTGAGGGTTGACTGTATTAACATTGATTCAATCAAATACATATTCAGTAATAAACAATAATGAATCTTTTGTACATATTCTTAAAAAGATAAATGACGCGGTATCCTTAAATGTGCATGTATATGTTGGCGTTCCCAATCCATCTCTTTTTTTTTTCTTTACCATTAGTGGTTAGCTACTTTTATTGTTCCATTTATTAACATTAAATAATATTACTTAAAACACACATATTTATTTTTTTACATTAATTTTACTACAGCTACAACCAGGGTCATATTTTCTTCATTTTCTCGTGTAGAACTATCGTCCAGGACTCCCGGCTGTAAACACAAACAAAAACAACGGCGTCACATCTCCTCTTGTGTGACCACATTATTATTCATTTACTGTACAGTCGGCCCTTAACATACGCGGGTTTAGCATTCACAGATTTGCAAATACGAGGATTGCCCCGCCGGAGGAATATTCTGTACATTGAAGTAATTGAAGTACATTCAAATCGCACCCCATTCAACTCGCAGCGGCACCGAACACGGGACACCGCCTGCTCCCGCAACCTCACACACACACACGCATAGCTCTCCCTCACTCAGTCAGTCTCGCTGTAACCACGCTTGCGTTGACATCAGCATTGTAGTTGCAAAAATATTACATTTCCGTGAATGTATTATATCAAGCACAGTATGAATAAAATATCACTAATATAAGAGTATTTTAACCGAAAACTACTAAAAAAATGAGTAACATATCTTGAACATCGGAAGGTTAGGTAAAGTCTTTTGTTTTCATGTAGTTTATCCTAATTTACATCGAAATGCATTACGTTTCAGCAAAACTACTATTTATTTCTGAGAATATGGAAATGTAATATTTTGCTGAAATGATGTACGTATTACAGTGGAAAGTGGGATAAAATTGTGACAAAAGCAATGACTTTCTCTTTCTTTCGTTCAAAAGATGTTACTGTAATCGCTTTTCGAATGGTTTTCAGTTGTGGGATTATAAGGCTAATGATAGGATAGAATATTATTGTAATACAGTACGTACGAGTACAACAGTTTTTTAACTGAAAACCATTCGAAAAGCGATTACGGTAAAATCTTTTGAATAACGAAAGAAAGCGAAAGTCATTGTTTTCGTCATGATTTTATCCCACTTTCCACTGTAATATGTACGTCATTCCAGCAAAAATATTATATTTCCATATTTATTTCTGAGAATACGTATATTCATTCGGTCACAGTTAAGGTAAAATATACTTGTGATGTAATATTTTCATGAAAATACAGTATCGTAGTTTTCTTTTGTTTCAAATTTAATTTAAAAAGATTGATGTTTCAAATGTAATGAACAAAAATTTGTGTCCAGTATCTATAAATAAACTTTAATAAATGAATACTTTATGTTTTACATCGTCCTGTGCTACCATACCATGGATTTGGCTACTTTGGGCTAGCTATGATGACACAAGAGATCTGCCCTGGCAACTGTACCGACACTCACAGCTGGTGGTGTGTTGGTGCGTCGTTCCCATTGTTTACTGGTAGTTACTGGTAATATTTTTCAACCTAACGAAACTATTACCCGTTTAGAGGTCGACCCCCAATTTTTTGCCAAATAATTTGGTCTTAAAAACTCGAAACACACAGGTATCTACGGTAAATAAGGACATGGGGGGCCAGGGGTTCTTTTTTTGGGGGGCAGCAAAAATACGCAGATTTTTAACATCCACGGGTACAGTGGGGTATGCTATAACGAACGGATCCTACTACGAATATTCCTATAACGAACGGTTTTACCTATAAAATTGAGAATGCTATAACGAACGAAACTCCTACAACAAACATTATTTAAATTTTTTTTTTCTAATTTATTGTTTTTTATTACAAATATTAATGATATTCTTTATTTCAGGGGTTTAGATGCATATTTATGCACTTTTTTACAATTTTTACAATTTTATATTATATTTTTCAGTGTTAAGTGGTTGTATTTGGGGGCCTGGAACGGATTAATCCTATGACGAACGAATGCTATAACGAACAAGGTTCTAGAACCAATTAGATTCGTTATAGCATACCCCACTGTATCTCTGTTACGTAACCCCCGCGTATGTTAAGGGCCGACTGTATATTGTATAAGGTCATTCAGAAACATTTTTTAAAGAATATAGTTTGCAATTTTCATTAATTGTGTTGTTTTGGGGGAAAAGATGGTAAAAAGCCACACAAAAGATATGAAAAGGTCACACTTGGGAACGCATCTCATTATTAATGCTTTATTTTAATAGTAATTAATGATTCGCGATACGATGATTCACCTCACACTGCAATATTAGAAAACACATTAACGTCGTTATTCGAGGCTTTACTGTACAGTACTATACAGTACTGTATTGTACAGTTCCTGTTGCCTCACACAAACAATCAATAACAATCAAATGTCAACTCACCTTTCAAGGGTCAATAGGAGAGGATTACTTTGTGGATGGCCATCGTTACTGACGTCTCGGCAAGAGGTGCTAATCTCACAGAGAATATTGTCGGCACTTGAGTGTTCTTCGGGGTCAGCCTCTGGTGATAATCGGTCTACTAGTCGTTCTACCAGCTGACTCTCATTCAGCCACTGCATTATTAAAAAATTTATAAATGGTTTAAAATACAAACATTGTCAGATGAAAGTGCAAGATGGAAGGTCAATAAACCTATGGTAGAACCTTCATAAAGAATAAGTGTGGCTTCACATTATAAATGAAAATTATATTTTGTGTTGAAGGACAAAATGTATTACATACTGTACTGTACTCATCAGTGCCTTCAGTATAAGCTTCTCCACCATCACCTTTTGGTCCCAACACCATCCTACTCCAAGAATAAATTGTTCTTAATGAAGTGGTACATTGGTCACAAGCCCTTAATATTGTCTGTATTCTCGAGAATGGTTCAAACAGTCGATGTAGCCAAACCAGAACTACTGTACTAGTTACTTAGTGTTCACTCACCTCTACTTATCTTAGGACTGGTACAGTACAGTACAGTATTTTGACATCCATACTCATGCTTTTCTTGACTGCTTGGCCACATTATCACTGACAGGTTAGGTTATGAAGGCAGGTGCCACATGAGGTAGTGAAGTGGACTGGACAGTGGGTGAAGGAGGATATGTTATGTTGGTTTTATAATGTTGTTATGTTAAGTTGGTGTTATGATGTTATGTTATGAGAGTGGAGAACCTCTGTGAGAGTAAATAGTGAGGTGAAAGTAAGCATTATCATGATGTTAGAGAAACTAACTAAATATTCCAGGACTACTGTAGTTTGTTATAAGCTCGCAATGTTAATACCAAAATATTTTGAAGATATTGTAGACAATTGTTTGAAATGGAAGGATAGAATGGAGTGAAAGGGTAAGAGAGTGAACGTGGTAATGATAAGTGGTGTGGGAGAAGGATCCGTGGTGCGAAATGATTGTCTGCTGTCTGTAAGAAAGGGAGGAAGATGGATGCAAAAGAAGTGTTCTGTATGCATAGGTAACCATGTGACCACAGTAAGGCTGGAGAAATTCAATTTTAGGGATATATCCCTCGACTATGTTGATGAGTTCTGCTAACTGGGTGACATGATAAGTGCTGAAGCAAGCTCGGTTGTAAGAGCTTGAAGTGGCTGGAAGAAGTTTAGGGAGTTGTTGCTTTTATTGACAGTGTGAGAAACTTGGTGCTTAAAACATGGGCAGTTAAAGAGGAGGATATGTAGGTTTAAGTGAGCTGAAATGACAATGGTGAGATGGATGTGTAATGCCACAGTGAGAAATGGTAAACCCTGTTCAGAACTAAGACTGTGGCTGGGTTTTGAGAACATTGATCAAGTTTTACACTAAGGTAGGCTGAGATGATTCAGGCATGATAATAATAAATTAGTCAAGAAATACATAGATTTGAATGTAGAGGGGAGGGAAGGAGAGGTAGAAGATGACAGGAAGAGGTTGTGAGAAAACACCTCAGATAGAAGCAGATGAAGTAATAGGCTCCAGTCTAGACCGTGCCATCAGGTTATCCCAGCTGACCAATGCAAGTGTGGAAAATGGCCGTAAATTGATGATAATTATGACAATGAAATATCGGCCAAAAAAAAAAAAGTGCCATCAGTCTTTGTTTGAGAAAAGAATTCTTAATTACAATAAATGGTCAATACTACTGTACTTTGCATTTCTCCAAAGTCTAATGGAACAAGATCCTTCTCAAAATGTGTCACTAATCGCACCTTAAGCACATATAGCACACGGTTACAAAAGTAAATTATATGGGTAGTTAAATAAAACCTTTCTTCCTAAAAAAGCAATATCCACATGCGAATAGCATCTAAATGATTAATGAGCGGGTAATACTGTGGAGCAATGACACGCACCTGATGTACACTCTGTCGGATCTCGTCCTCCTCCACATTACAGATGAGTCTGAGGATCAAATCCATTATCGCTGAAGTTCCCACATGCTGCACAGCCAGCTCAACAAAATCACCTTTGGATTTTAAAAAGTCCAATACCTGGAAGCAAGTGAACTGATAGGAATACCAGTTCTAGAGAAGAGAAGAGAATACACTTTATAAGAATGTGTCAAGGTAAAGTTTATAGTCAGCTTTACAAGAGCAGACCTTCTTCCTTCACCAAACAAAAGATGCACTACAACTCACATATAGTACTGTACAGCATTACGTAACTGAGAACAATTCTACTAAAGAGCAACATATTTTGGTCTACAATGGAAATGATTAAGTAACTTGACACTTTAGCTGCACTAGTTACCTCACTAAACCATGACAATCAACAACTTCTTGGTCAATAATACTTGATCTCACTGATTTTTTAAATAAATAATGAACTACAAGCTAAAAGTAATTGAACAAAATTTTCTTAAAGTGAAAAGGAAATATTGAAAGTATTACCGAAGAGCACAGTACTAGCAGCCTTGGTCCAAGAGCATGACTACAATACAGCATAAACTAAAGAATTAGTCATTTTGAATTCTACAGTAAGTGATATCCTTCATTGTAAAGGAATGTAAGTTGACTACATAAGGAATACACCTGTACCATACAATATTACAAATGGTTATACAGTACAGTACAGTACAGTAAAGAGAAGAAGGCCTGTCTTGTCCTGTGCGAGTGGGAGGGCGAGAGTCTGACCAACATTAACAGCGGGCCATCTTACGCTCTGTACTCCAAGTCAGCCACAAGCCTTTCTTACACTTTCTATCCAACAACTGTGGTCTATCCTCTACCAAACAAGACTTTCCAAAACAACAAATGCAGTACAATGTAGAATTTTGTAGTTTATCATAATAGTCAATAGAAAGTGAACAATTACCTACAGTAGAGACCTGCTCAGGTGAGGTAAGGTTTTCCCTGACAAGTGAAGCCTTTACATGTACAATACAAAGATTGCCTCTAGGAAATATCTTGAAAGTAAGGTAATCGACCGCCTTAACATCATAATAAGACATTTGTTTATAATTTACATAACAATTCTATCCACAGGGGAAGGGGGGGGGGTGACCATTTGTTTACTGGTAATTTTTGGATAAATGGAAGCAAGAAAATTTCCTTCTTCCACAGCGAGCAAAGTATAGATGGAACACACCTGCAGTTCAGTATAGACAATGGTTACATTGCACTGGATTTTAATAATATTAATGTTTATAGGATTTGTCCACTGTTTTGATAAGAAATATTTAATGAATGTCAAAATGTATTCAACAGTAATGTATTACATGGAAGAGTTGTACAGAAAAAACTTGTATAATGTTACCAAATGCACCAACAGTACTGAACATATTTAACATTAAGACAATGTGACACACTATACTACAACTTATGAAGTGTCCACAGTTGTGAGATACACAAAACCTTTAGTAAGACACATTGCAAAGGTACGGTACACTCACACACCACAATATATAAATCACCAATGTTGTATATTTACACCACAAATTATTCTTATTTGAGGCAAGAGCTGAAAACTGTCAAGTCATGTAAACTATCCATTTTCTCAATCTCCTGTGAACTTACAACAATGTCTTGTATGGCTTATTATAGCAATACCCAACTGAACCTGATCAATTAAAAACTGAGGTGGAATATTTAAGAGGAAGCTAGAAATAAACCTTCTTACTGAACCAGCAATATATAGTCACAGAACTAAACAAGTAACTACTGACCTTCTGCCATTGGTGAATTACTGTACAGTGCAGTACCTACAGCCACACACATGACCTTCCACCACTTAATTCTTAAACAGGAATAATCCATTATAAATGGCACTTACAGTATTATTGAAGAGAATATACTACTGAAGGCATAAGAAGGAAATATGTATAAGAAAGATAATGATGGAGAGATGTGACAAAAGTAGCCTAGAGGACACATGGGTGGGGTAATAAAATGACAAATGTGTAGGTATACCTGGTCTGTCTGTCTCACTAATACTTCATACACCTTTCCATTCTACTTTTATACAACACAGTGGATACATGGTGTGCAGGTCAACACACACACACACATACCAGAAAGAACACTATCTTCTAACACCCACAGCTATAATGTACACGTAACCCCACACTTTTCAAGTTTGAAGATGTACACTATATAATCTTATGTTGATAACCACATGGAAAGAACTGTACTCACCCCTGAAGATGTGAATTACACGAAAGCGCTTGGGAAATTCGTGTTTTCTTCTTTCCTCGTGGTTATCAGCATATACCTGGATCACGCACAACTACGTACAGTGATTTACTTGCATATAATCTTAATGATCCATGTGTGAAGCTCATAAAACTCAACTTCACAATTGTGAGCAACACCAAATTCCTAATCACTCTCAGAGAACCTAACCTAACTTATCCCTCATGACAACACATTTGCCCAGTTTTCAGTAATATGCTTCTTTGCCAAATAACACAAAAGAGCACTGCCCAAATAAAAGAAGTCATTTAATAGAGTAACCACACGGGTAATGACAGGTTGTGAAGTTTCCAAACAATACATAATTCCCCCAGTACAGTAAACTGTAGCATTATCCTTCATACCACAGGACTTTGTAGCGGGTGGTTACCTGGACCATGTTTGAGGAGAGAAGTGTACAGTAGTCATCTACTGCTGTACAGTACTGTGTTTATTTCTTGTTAAACTTACTTTCATGACTTGTAAATACTGTATCAGTGGCAACCATCACCACTCACTCCCACCATTAATATTTAAACCAGATGTTGCTGTGTCATGAAGCAATAAAATTTGTTTCATCAGTTATTATCAGACTTATGATGGAGAGCAGCCAACACAAGACTTGTTGATCAACAAGGTGAAGGATAAATAATGGTGCCATGAACATTACCACTCTTCACTTGACACACAAATGAGGGTAAAAAAATTTAAACCACAACCACCACCCTAATTCACTCCATTATGCACAACACATGAGGTTATTTTTTCCTTCCCAAAATATACTGAGCCAGACATCACAACCCACACTTCCCAAATTCCTTTCACAATTTACACTGTACAATACAGTAATCAAGGTACAGTATAGGATTGTTTTGCTTTAAACAGAGTTGGCTGCTGATAGGTTTTTTTTTTTTTTTTAATTTTGGGAAGAAAGCTGACCACTTGTTGGAAATTCAAGCCCCTCAACTCCACCAGCAAAGAGTTAAAAAGTTTAATGAAATGTTGACAAAACTGGTGTGTGGATGAAGAGATGGGTGGATTGTTAGAACTACCGTACTGTATTTAGTTTTCAAAAAGAAACACAGTGAACAACGTCTGTTATTGAAAAAAAAAAAAAAAACATTGCACAAAGTAATCGAAAAGTTATGAAGTACCGCACTGCAAACACAACATGCAAAGTGAACTTAAGATCCAACTAGAAAATAATGGAGTTTAGTACAGGGAGATTCCAAGGTACTCTCTCCTCAATACACTCACTTGACACACTCTCCTCAATACACTCACTTGACACTCTCTCCTCAATACACTCACTTGACACACTCTCCTCAATACACTCACTTGACACTCTCCCCTCAATACACTCACTTGACACTCTCTCCTCAATACACTCACTTGACACTCTCTCCTCAATACACTCACTTGACACACTCTCCTCAATACACTCACTTGACACTCTCTCCTCAATACACTCACTTGACACTCTCTCCTCAATACACTCACTTGACACTCCCTCCTCAATAAGATACCGGTAAGTGAAAGAATCAAACAACATTTCTTTGTTTATCCATGAAACACTTTCCAATAAATGAAAACATTATACAGTACCGGTATTGTATTAAAAAAAAAAGTAATTTAACAGTTGTCAGTTGGAAAAGTAGAGAAATGTCAGTGTTTGTAGTGAAAATACAAGATTACCATAAACTGTGAAATCTGTACACGTAAGTAACAATTAGTGTTCTGCAAAAATTGCGTACATTAAAAAATGGATACAATTGCATTTTAGCAGAATAAGGAGTGTTTGTTAAATCAAGAAAGTGTTAACTCACCCAATACTGTGCTGTGCCAAGACTTAACTAAAGAGTTGCATGCTTTAAGACTGCCCAGCAACTGTGGTCTGGGGAACTACTCTTGTACTACTCTACACTCAACCCATTTTCTATCAACCTTAATATTAACACAAACTTCCATCTTATAAATTTACTCTACACTCTATGTATGTATGTACGTATAACTTAATAAAAGCAACCATTTTTACAGCACAAGATTCATACTGTACAGTATTATATAACACGGGTATACCTTTTTAACTCTGAATTATCATTAACAGAAATCAAATGGAATAAATTAATAAATGTTTGAAAATAAAGGAATAATAATGGATGCCTCTCGTGTAACGAGGATGGCCAGCCCAGGGGCCACCTAAGCGTGAATTTGTTTAAGGTGTAGAAGTTGTCGCCAACACAACAACCATGCCCTAAGTTAACGAGTTGCATGGCCCCAGTGTCAAGGAATAGTCCGAGAAGGCTGGACAACTCGCCAACTGCACTGGCTAACCATTACCCCGGAATACGATCCACAAATCGATTAACATCCAGGTCCCCAATTACTGCTGGGTAGACAGAGGCAAATGGTGTAAAGAAACTTACCCATAGTTTCACCCTGCCCGGGGATCAAACCCGGGTCCGCACACTTGCAAGGCAAGCATGCTAACCATTACACCACAGGTAGTGTAATGGAATAATACATCATTACTGGCTACCTATTGTTTACTATTTTCTCTAAGGTTCTGTGACATGAAACTATAATTCCTTTTGTTATTAACAGCAAATATAAGTGATCATTCCTATCACAAGAACCTCAACAACTAACTGCACACAAGTACAGTCTGTTACAATCAGTGTTGTCAATCCACCCTGTCCAAGTGGTGTGAACCCCAGGAGTACGCAGGGAGAGAGGGAGGACTGAAGCCGGTGGGTGGCGGGGGTTAAGGAGGGTCATAGTGTAGGGGTGATAGGCTGAAGCCTCTACATATTATGGTATCCGTTTACAACCAGTGCCCGGTGCTATCACCCCTGGAGTAAGTGACAGTTGCTTAGGTTTCGGCAGGAGGAGGAAAAGACACAAGGAATACAGCATGACCAGAGAATGGGGATAGTTTTGTTATTACAGTTGCTTATTATTTCATAAATTCTGGACAGTAAATATGAATAGAATGGTTCAGACCTGTAACACCAGCTAGGAATACCACCCTAATGTGCAGTAACACAGTCCACTCATACTTTGTGTTTTGTCCTACATACTTATATCCTTGCTTAATATATCCTGTATTGTAACTGCTCATGTAACTGCTTAATTCTCTCCCACCCCCCTACACTCTGACCCTCCTCAACCCCACCACCCACTGGTTCCAGTCACCCCCCCCCCCTCTTGTGCTCGTGAATGCTTCAGATTCAAGAGTCTATACTGGGGTTCATACCACATGGACAGGGTGGATTGACAACACTGGTTTTAACAGTTGGAAGCGGAAGAGGCTGTACAGTACAGTAGTCTAAATACAGTGGTGTATGCTATAACGAACGGATTCTACTACGAATATTCCTATAACGAACGGTTTTACCTATAAAATTGAGAATGCTATAACGAACACAACTCCTACAACGAACGCGGATGAATACGGGACTATTTCGTCTGGCGCATGAATATTGTTGTACCACGGCTCACAACAAGAGCGTCAGGCACCATATTGGTTCATTGTGTAGTCAGTGCATCACTGAACTTGTTGAAATTTCGTCTTTTGATGTGGAAATTCGTGTTATTTTTATAACTATTTAGTTATACAAGTGTACAATTGTAACAATGAATCGTCAAAAGCGAGTGAGAAAGCTAATAACCCTTGAAACTAAGAAAGAAATTATAAATAAACAGACAAAGTGCCTGTAAGACAGTCACCAAAGAGGGCTAGGAAGGATGACTCCTCTCCTTCCACCTCTTCTCCAGGGCTAGGAAGGGTGACTCCTCTCCTTCCACCTCTTCTCCATAATTCTCTCCTCCCCCCTCCTCCTCTGCCTCCTGTCCTGCATGCTAACAACACTAAAGTAAGATACAGTACCGTATTTTTTACAATTTCCACAGAATTTTTTCAGTGTTAAGTGGTCGTATTTGGGGGCCTGGAACGGATTAATCCTATAACGAACGAGGTTCTAGAACCAATTAGATTCGTTATAGCATACCCCACTATAATACTATGCCAACACTTTTATGTAGAAACTATCAGATATTTACTTACTATGTGTGTGGTACTGTTCTGCACCTGTATATTGTACAAAAGCTACAACTATATATAATAATTTGACAATAAGTCACAAAAAAAACTACAGTGAGATAAAAAGATGTATTTTGGAACCATGATTATCAGCAGCAACTTAATAAACAAGTTGCTGAACTAACTCAAATATGAAGCTTATGAGCTTCAGTTAATAACATGATTCTGGTCTCAAAACAGTGTACAAGGAACTGTATTAAAGAAGTGTTTTATATTACTGTACTGCTTTTGTCTTATGATAATTGAAACAATTATTATACCACATTAGTTCAATCCAAATTTATAGAGTAAAACTCGCCAAATTAACATTACACGGACAACCTTCATTTAAACTACAAAAATCAGCGTTAATGAAGAGCAATTTAAGTCAAGAGAATTTCAACATACTGTACTGTACTGTACATGAAATTATAATTCTACAACTTTGGGAGACTTACTGCTTTATATATTCAAAGATAAAACCATACTATTTTTTGCAATGAAAGATATACGGTACAAACTGCTTTACGCCCTACAGTGATAAACACGATGGCATATTCTCCCGCAAAAACTTCCCCACGATCACAAACACAATATTTCAGCCCATCAACACCTTTAATTTGACATGTTATACTTTCATTATTTACACTGATTTTGTATGACAGCTTAATACACAATATATACTTATAAATGCAAAGGAACTTAATAAAATAGTTTTATAATAATTGTATCCAACAGCACAAGTGGAAGTTGTGAGGTGTGGCATAAATAACATCCCCAGAGCCACAGTAGCGGTGTAGTGTTTCTCTGTAGGAACAAACTCACCTGTTCTGACCGCCTCTGTACCAACATGCCCAGAACTTTGGAGAAAAATGAAGCCAACAAAGGGTTAAGGGGTTTTTCTTTCTTGAGGAATCTGTAAGAAATGCAGAAATAAATTTGAACATCACATATTATGAGGTCTTTATATAAGTAAATAAGCAATGATATCGGAGAAATAAAATGTGTACTGTACTGTATTTCCAAGTTCATAACAGATCTCTCTCTATCTATCTCTCTCTCTCTCTCTCAAAACAACATGAGAGAGATGTTCACATGACCCAGCTCAGATATATAATGGAAAGAACCCAAGAACACTGTTACTTATGGCACAGTAAAGAGTACTGTACATCTCAATTCATATAATGAAAGACTGGTGGAGGACCTAACCAACAATGTGATCTGAGTAAACTGAAAAGATCTACCGGTTCCTTGTAAATCCAACATAAATATCAAAGCACTACTGTACTGTCAAATACCATGAAAGTACAGTGGTCCCTCGGGTAACGAACACAATTCGTTCCACAGAGTCGTTCTTTAACCGAATCCATTATTTCAATGCAATATTAGGTAATTGGTTCCAGCTCACAGAAAAGTACATATAAAGTATAAACAAAATGCAGTAAAGTACACTTACTTTGAGGTGTGTATGTAGAATGTTGCTGGATGATGATGGGAATTAGAAGTGGGGGGTGGAGGAGAAGAGAAGGAAGTGGGGATGGAGGGGAAATCGCCTTTCTTTGAACCCATGCTTGATGCAGTAATTTCACCAATAAAATTTTAAGTTCACAAGCTGTAATTACAGATTCTTTTATTTAAATCAACACTGCACTGTGCTATATATTATCAATATGTTAACTAAATTTCAGAATGATCAATAAATTTAATGTAAAAACGTAAAAATAATCTGTGTTCAAGAGAGCAACAAACATGATGTTTCCTCCACTGTAAACAAAGTCAAACTGATGCCTTGGCAGGTGAGTCAAGCAGCTGATGGGTGCACAAAATACTAGTTCCCTGTACTGCATATATTATCAATATGTTAAATAAATTTTAAAATAATAATTTTAATATAAAAAAATGCAAAAATATTAAAGAGCACAACACTTCTTGATATTTACTCCACTGGAAACAAATGTAAACATAGAACCAATTACTCTATTGGCGGACGATCAGCTGATGCTCACAACAAAACGTGTTTGTTGTAAGGACTTCGTTAATCGAAGTTCTGTTCGTTAACCGAGTTGAAGATCCTCATGGGAGCTAATTCGTTAACCGAAATTTCGTTAATCGAACCGTTTGTTAACCGAGGGACCACTGTATAAAGAACAATTGTAAGAAAAAAAGATGAAATGGAAACACTTACTTGTACAGAATATCGAGAAGGTTGGTAGATGCAACCAACTTGTCTATGATGGCTGGAACATCAGCTGTAAGTAACTCAGCAGCTAAGTTAGCATACTTGAATCTCATCTGCAACTCTCCATCCATGGCTGGCTCATTTACCACTAAACACACCAACTCATCAAGTATTTCTGCTCGAGTCAGACTGCAGAAAACAAAGGATTCAACAATTATATACTGTACTATACACTACTGCTGTGGTAGAAATGGGACTGGGGCAGTGCAGTGCATAGGTCGTGGAATGTACAGTATAACCTTAGATAACCGGAATCCACGGGGAACCGAGTGTGTCGGATAATCATTTTTTCCGGATGTTTGAGTTATTTTTATAAATATGCAGCTCAAACTCAAGTACTTCGTCAAAGTAAATATGCATCTCAAACTTAAGAACGTTGTAAATATATTCGTAAAGAAATAAAAGGGCTGCAGTATTCACTTATGTAGCACTGCAGTGGTATACGTGTGTGTCATCCAGGTGTACAATAGCAAATAAAGTTACTTGTTGAGCTGGAGTAAATACAGATACAGTAATCACTTACGTAGTTCACTAATTTTTTCAGGCTTGTTAAGTTCTTTAAACACTAAAGTTCCTTAAGATTACACTAGGGGCAATGTAATGACAGCACCCAGTATGTTTGGCCAACATGGAAGACTCACACAGCACCTTTAGTGGCCAGAAATGGAACTGCGGACAAAGTGGTGCCAAATTAAAAAAAAATTTCTTGATCTTTTAAATGTGATCAGACACTATTAACTGAAAATTTACCCAACCCTCCCCCCCAAAAAAATGCCGGTTGCTTGAGACTTCTGGAAGGTTAAATGCCGGATACCTGAAGTTATACTGTACTCCAAATTTTTTACATATAGTATAGTAAAACCTCCCGAAGTTAGACTATACAGTATAGGGCTCAAGCTAGTCTGACTTATCCGAAAGTCCGACTTACGTGACTCCACCGAAATTTTGGCCACCATTTTGCTGAGAAATCACATCCAAAAACTAAATTAAAGTTAACAATACTGTACATATTTATAATGTACTTACATTGTAGCAGATAAATTTTGAGATTGTTGTTGAACACAAATCTTGATGAATCTTTGAATTGGAGGACAAAGGGAGGTCGCTTAAACTTACTTTACTGTAGTTTCACTTATATTTATCTGTACAAGTACGCTTAAAACTAGGATATGTTTCTTGGTTTAATCACTGTTGGAATCAAGGTGGCAGATGGGGGTTACCACCAATTCTGACTCTGAGGTGTACAGGTAGGGCGAGTGAGGCAGACCCACAGGCCCAATTCTGATTAAAGGAGTCTTACTATACACAGTGGCTAATATTGATGACCAACCTGCCGACATGTTCTTTGTTTTGATGTTTATTTTCTTATAATACAGTACAGTATTTTCATCAATGAGTTATGATATGATAATTATTTCTTTGGAAAATGATTCGTTTGGTAGATAATACTGTAATTAGGCACCTAAGCGTGCACTACTTTGCCTTCTTGGTGGTAATGTCTATGAGCCATACAGTCCACAAAAACATAAAATTATACCATATCATAGTACAGTAGGTTCTTTCTGTTTAATATGCCGGGGAGCGGAGTCCCATGGCTGGGAAGTTTGGTAAGGTTAGGAAGGTTTCTTTGGTTAGGTTGTTAAGGTCTTCTAACAACGCTTCTGCTGCTTGTTTTTCTTATCAACTAAGGTTAGGTTAAGTTTAATTTTAAAATAACCACCTTTTAACACATCTGCCAAAACTACGAGTGTCCACTATAAAACACAGTGCAATTACGGCATTTTTAATATCATTTTGTATGAAAAATGCGTGGCGGATCAGTCATCAATAATTACCTACTGTATATACAGAACAGTACAGTAATCCTTTTTTAAATAGTACAGTATTGTGTTATGCAAACCTTGTTATGTATATTAGGATTTTTAAAAGTCATGTGATGACAAACTATGAATGATTTAAGTTTTACTGTACTGTACAGTAGAGTGCAATACAGTGCAGTGCAGTACAATACAGTAGAGTGCAATACAGTACAGTACAGTGCAGTACAGTGCAATTCAGTACAGTGCAATACAGTGCAGTACAGTACTGGTTAATGTTTGGAAGATATTCAATAATGGTTCTACTTCATTAGCGACTGTACAAATTTGGTAACTCTTCCACTCTTTCTTGTGCACACACATTGATCATTTAAATCTTTGACTCTTCATAATTAAAATGTAAAATATATTAAGTATAAGGAAGTGATGCCATACATATGATGAAGCTAAATGTAATAGCAAAGTGAGATTTGTCTATATGAAAAGTACAATAAACACTTTGTACTTACAAGTCAATAAGTTTTCTATTCTGTGCTTTACACTCTTGAAGGAGTTCCTCCTCATCCATAAGCTCTGACAATGTAACATCCTGAAGAGAAGAAGAAAATGTTGGCCACATTACACTCTAAAACTCTTGTATTGTATTGTTAGCCTAGAGCAAGGAGTACTGTACACCCAACTACAGGTTGTACCTCTCTAGTCCGGCAACCTCGGGACCTGACCGGTGCCGGACCATGGAAATTCACCCTTTTCCTGGACAGATAGTGACTTGCGCTTATGTTAGCACCACTTTCACTGCTTCGTGGTCTCTTTGAAGACATATTGAAGGGTTAAATGTCATACAGTAGCTTCTCAAATTTCGCAAGTTTTTAATTCAACGTTTTTTATTTGGACACAAAAAAAAAATACATAATTTAAAATTTTGACGGTGGAAACTCGAATTTCGACGGGTTTGAGCGGTCCGCCAACGTTTAGGCGTGCACATTCATGTAAACAGTGTCATTTCTCTTATGTACAAAAGATTCATTATTGTTTATTACTGAATGTCTTTTTTATTTAATTAATGTTTATGTGTGCAAAATGAGCAATACAATTCATTAATAATACGTAGAATATTAAAACACACGAGGAAATGAGACAGCATTGTTTTCGTTAATGTTTACAAAACCAGTGACTGATTGGTTCTACATATAAAACAAGAAAATAAGACCCTGGTTGTAGCTGTAGTAAAATTAATGTAAAAATTAATATGGTTGTTTGAAGTAATGTTATTTAATGTTAACAAATTAAACATATATAAGTAGATAACCATTAATGTTAAAGAAAAAAGTGAGATCGCGTATGTAAGTGCGCACATGTGAAAACATATCGTCATTACTCTACATAAGAATATGAAAGCAACACTTATTAATGTTCATATATATTGAAGGGTTAAATGTTGTACTCTGTATAGACAAACAGAGAGAGAGAGCCAAACTGCCGGATGTAAACAAACCTTAATTTCCTGCGGCTTTGTTGTTTTTTTTTTTTTACGGGGATTAGCCCACCCGGGCACAGGTCACTAACCTACATTGAAGCCTGAGGGGCGAAAATGTAATACTCCTGTAATAATAATAATAATAATAATAATAATAATAATAATAATAATAATAATAATAATAATAATTCAGATAAGCAAAAAAAAAAAAAGCTGCCTATCTACCTATTGGGCAAACTAAAATCGTTCCGGACCACAGAATGCCAGACTAGAGAGGTACAACCTGTATATCTTTCTTTTTTTACACACAAACAGTGAGAATGATTGTCAAGTCTTGGAATAAAAGCTGTCCTGAAAAGGACACATATTATGACAGACCAACATGTGTAAAATCTACAATGTGTTAGACTCACATCATACCTTTGCTTTCAACAGTTACAGTACAATATATAATGATATAGTACCTGTACAACAAAAAGTGTACATGATAGTAATAGTGTCAAGAGAGTGAAATGAGCACTACAGTATACATATATGAGTACAGTACAGTGCCAAGAGAGTTAAGTGAGTACGGTACTAGTGGAGTAAATTACAGTACAGTAGTACACAGGACCACTACATCTCTGATAATAATGTTTAAAACAATTTAAGACAAATTTAACAATTTACAAAATTACATTATAAAATACACATATGATGTTGAGACAGTATGGAGACAAGGATAAAACTATTTTAAAAATAGAATTAAATTGACAGCTGATAAACAAGAATATGTAATAATTAGGTAGAGTACTGTATTTAAGTTAGAGAATAACAGTTGTTAGACAAGGATATAGTGTTTAACTCCTTCACTTCAGGGATGCCACTATTATATGGCTAACACAAGACACAGTACAGTATTCAGCACAGAAAGGACCCCATACACAAGGGGTTAAGAAAGAGTAGGAGAAGAATGACAAGATAAAGGTGGTAAAAATGTGATAGATATGGTTAAAGAATTTATAAATAATACTTACTTCTTTTTGTAGAAGAGTCTCAATCTGGGCAGAGGAGCCAAAATTGTACTTCCAAAACATCTTGTTTCACCTAAAATTAAATCATCATACTGTATTAAAAGTTAATGTTATACTTAACCCCCAAACAAATATGATAAAATAACCCATATACAGTATTATATGTACTGTATCAGATACAGTGCATACCATATTCTTAACTGCACACAATCAACTAAGGATACAGGGTACATGGGTAAAAGCACAACTATTTTGTTGGAGAAAAATCTGGATAAGGATCAAACTAAAGTACTATGTTTTGACCTATATAGTATGGCTAATGTGGTGGATCCTGAAGGTGTACAGTACAATAGAGTACTGGAGGTGCACAACTACTGTACATCGTCATCGATGTCTCACACATTTCGCTGTTCATTTTGACCAAACTTTAATTTTCACAAAGCATATTATATTAACTTGCCGGTAAAAATTGCCATTATATTTGGAATCTTTACAATGCAAAGAGGTTTTTGGATAGACAAAGTAATGGTACAGTATTTATTTACTGAAGAAGGTCCAGTCTGTCCTGATCAGAGTACAGGTACAGTACTGTACACTTACTCAGTTTATCTATTCACTTCCAACTACAATTCCCATTAGCTACATAATCTGTGTCTAATCAAATTACTGTACTGTATACTGCATCCAATTAAAGCAAAAATTTAATTCACACTTTGTGCCCCACAAATGATCTTGACGTTGTGAAGACACTCAGCCACTTACTGAACCAACCCTAACTTGTTTGTAGAGGTAACTCTCCAAAGAGTAAGATTCACCTACAGTGGCTACAATACTGCACTGTACTGTAGATCCTTACATAAATAGTTGGGAAATTTTTAATACTTTTGGGTGAATGATGTTAGAACTTAGTGGCAGCTGAAATGCTGTAAATAATGTGCTCAGTTGTATCATCACGATTATTTATGATATTTCTCGTGTGTGTGTGTGTGTGTGTGTGTGAACCATTCAGTAACACCTGTCAGCAACAAGGATCCAGGAAGGAAGTTCTTGACATCATCCACATTTCTCCCTTATTTTTGCATACAGGTAACACAGTAATAAACAAATTTGTTAAAATAAATACTATACAAAAAACATTTATTTTTAATAAAAACACCAATAAATATTCAGTGGTTTACAAGAAGTACAGTACATGTACAAGCATTTATGTAGTACAGGTAGCTACAATCATTGTACAGTACTGTACAGGAAGTGCTTACATCAATTAATTTTGTTTACATAGATATGAGCCATACAACACAGAGCTTAACTAGGTCTCCTTATGATCTACAACACACATAATAAAATTATCCTTTCCTCATGTTACGGTATATTTTAGGGTTTACACACATTATATAATGCTGTCTTATGAAGTACTATATGTACAGTATTGGAACCCATGTTAGCTGCAGCTACTTGAAACAAAAAAGTAGATATCAGGAACACATCCACTTTCTTAATACGTACTGTACTATTACGACACTCCTGTCGCCGCTTACCCAGCTTCCACCGCTGGTTACCAGCACCTAAGTCATATGTAAAGAAGCAGTAGATATCTCGCAAGTACTGTATCGTCAAATTACCACTGACTGTCCCGCCAGTCTCTGGTAATTTCCCGACGTTCGGTATCAGTGGACAGACAAAACAACAGGTATTTAGATTTCCACCAGGTTACAGAAACACACTTGTGAACTGTAGTCTTCTTTAATTATCAGTTAATCTTCACAAAACTGTTCACAGGGTATATCTTCACAGCTGAACTTCTCACTTGGAATATTAATAGTCAGCACAGTACCAGTGAACAATTCCTTAGTATTTTCACTTTATATCACTCACAACTATTTCACAATACTTGCACAGAAATTATCTTTAGTTATCACTTGGCTTGTACTTCACACACTGCAGAAATGATCGCCTGACTTAACAAGGCCGCATACTACTGCTTATATACCTCATCAGACATCCCTAGCACAACCCAGACAGGTCTGGGAAGTCAAAAAACTTCTACTCTGACCGAGGCTTACAATGAAAAGTAAATACTGTAATAACAAAAATAATTTAATACATTTTAGAAAATTCTTACATAAGAAGTGCATCAATATACTATATGCAGGAAAATCTCCCAAAACTTGCCAAAATAACTGCTGCTTGGAATAGAAAACAATCAAAACAACTACAGTAGTTCACAAAAATTATAATACCAAATTATGCCTCAGCATAACAGTACAGTATAGTACTGCATACAGAACTGTACTGCAGTGATATACTGTACTTTTACCTGCAATTTTTTGGTGAACTGTAGCAAAACTGTGCAATACTGTATATAATATGACCATTTTTATTATCCACATACAGTACATGTACAGTATATACAGTACAGTATGCACAATTTAAAAAAATTCACCTGCAGTAGAACTTGGAAGACAGTGTAAAGTACTGTCTAGTACAGAACAGTACAACGTTAACTAATGTTTTAAATCCTAACTGCAGGATTTAAGAATCCAATATCTCTTAAGTTTGGACCATTATTGGTGAAAACAAAAAGTGTTAACATTAAGAAATATAAATGTTATCTGTTCTGGGGCTTGATAGCTAAGAGGTAACAGCCACAAAAATGTATTTAGGCCTGTGGGGGGCCCATGTAGTCCTTCAGCACCATACTAATGTACAGTACTTAATTTTAGTAACAAACCCACAAGCAAATTTTTATTCTGGGGACTGGTACAGTAACATGATTGAACAGTACATATAACCTAAAACTAAAAAGCCATATTAAAAAAAATAACACTGATTACTGTGGGCCAAGAACATAGGAAATATATTGTTCCCTTAAACTTCAGGGTAAGACAACATATCCTAGCTTATAGAACCCCCCCCCCCCCAATGCTGTCAACTACATACAACGGAAAAAACTAACTAATCAATGCCATAATAAATATAAACTTAAAGAAGGTAGTTTGGTAATACTGGAGTAGATGACTAACACCAGAAGGAGCTGTTCAATTTCGTTCATTTTTCCCACAGTTGTTCTTTGGATGGTAGCAAGTAATAAAAATTGGAACATTATTGTTTCAGTCATCCACATATTTGGAAGTTTAAATTATGTTTTTTCGAATGTCCTTGATGTGTTTTGAACGATTCTGACTTTCATTTCTACTGGATATCACTACTTTTTAAACTATCCCCACCCCCCCCCATCCAAAGAATATGGGGTACCCCCAGTGGGAACATGGGGTTTTGGGTGGAGGGAAAAACACAAAAAGTAGTAATTTGTGATAGAAATGAAGGTCAGAATCGTTGAAACACATCAAAACCCAATTTCATTTCTAACCTAACCTAACATAACCCAACCTAAACCTAATCTAACCAGTAAAAATCACTCACAGCATTGCTATACACATAATGCAGCATAGTAACCAACAAATAAACACACAGGAGCTCTCTTGGACAGTAGTAACTTAGTATCCTAACACTGGATGACCGAAATGATAATAGAACCATTAAAACAATACTGTACATATATTTTTTAATTTTAAGTACAGCACTGTATCTATTTAGATTTTTTTAGTTTTTCTCTATCTACTACCATAAATTATCTGTAGTGGGAGGGGTATGAAGGATGATGTTCAATGTGGTGTAAAACATGGTGAAAACTGATCATAGGGCACTAAAATGATGTCTCTTCGTACTTTGTATGAGAAGAAATTAATTCGTTATTTCCCGTAAATATTACTAAAAATCTGCCGCTGTTGGTGCTTGTTGTCATCTGCTCTGTGTTTGTTTATGCTCGGACCGAGCGACCCACTTGTCCACAAAAAAAGGAAAATTACACAACACCACTTCATGAAAATTGCTTTCACTGGTACCAGAGTAAGTACTTTCTGTTTAGTATGATGGGGGTGGGGAAGTTAGGTGAGGTTAGATAGGTTCTATTAAGTTCTGTGCATTGTTGTATCAATTTTATTACTTTCTATCATCCACAGAAAATGTGGAAAAAATAACATAATCGAACAACACCTTCTAGTGTTTGCCATCTGCTCCGGTATAACCTTTAATTATTTATGCTCCATCTCCCTACATGCACTGTACAGCACAGTACAGTATAGTATATAAATCAATATAGAGTTTTGTGGTTGACCTTTTCTGAATCTTAACCAAGTTAGGAGCCACGACAGTAAGAGTTAAAGAGCCAAACAAGTATTAGTTATGAGCCAATATAGCCACAACAACAGTAAGAGCCACAACAACAGTAAGGAGCCACAACAACATTAGTAGGAAGCCAAAACAACAGAACAGTAAGAGCCAGCAACAGTAGGGAGCCAAAACAACAGTAAGAGCCACAATAACAACAGGGAATTATTTATGAGCTGCCACCAACCAAATCTCAGGAATTTTGAATTTTATCTTTACAATCAATACAGTATTACTCCGCTTTACGCGGTTTCACTTTCCGCGATGCCTCGCCAGAACCGAACTTTCACTTTCCGCGGTTCATCTACCCATATATGCGCAGAGTGTCTGGCTCGACGCTATTTTTAGATTCGCCCCACCCGCCTGCTACCGCCTCCTCCCCCCTACGCCTGGGCAAGCCGCGCGGTAAGGTTGCGCAGTGCATGTCTCTGTTGCGTTATCACTGAAGTCATATGACGTATCGGACTGTGATTGGCCATGCATCCCTACCTCCCTCTGCTGCTAGCTGTAATTGGTTTAAAGTAATATGACGTGTCCACCCGGGGGAGGGAGGGCGGGAGGAAAGACGACGCTTGACCTAGCCGAGGCAGTTTCATCCCTCCAGGCCACACCGTGTATACGTGCATCCATTGTTCTGTGAAATGGCTTCCGCCGGACCACCACCACCAGAGAGAAACCTTTCCTTACCTGGACCCAGCCGCCCTAAGCTACGAAGTGAAATACCAGATCATTCAAGATTTGGAGAAAGGAACACGTCAAGCTGATCTCGCGCGCCAGCATGGAGTGAACGAATCTATGATTCATACTATTAAGAAGGATGCAGCCAAGATCAAAGAGCACATGAAAATCACAAAGTCTGCAGGTGCTTCAATGATCAAGTATTGCCAGAACAAGGTGCTGCTAAAGGTGGAAAATTTGCTGGTGAGTTACTCGATTCGTCAGGCGCGACGCAACATGGCGGTGGACACGCGATCCGTTCAAGAGTACGCACATGAACTGTACGCAGCAGTGTCACGTAAGATGGGAATTGCAGAGCCCAAAACCTTCAATGCTTCCTCTGGTTGGCTGCATAGGTTTAAGAAGAGGAACAATATCACCAACATCAACATTGGTGGTGAAGAAGCGAGTGCTGACCGTGTGGCGGCTAGAGATTTTCCTCCGTTCTTACGTGAGGTTATGGAGGAAGGGCAGTTCACTGACGACCAGGTGTTCAACATGGACGAATCCGGCCTTTTTTGGAAAAAGCTGCCTACCAAGACCTTCGTTGTCCAGTCTGCCAGCAAGGTTCGGGGTTGGAAGTTGCAGAAGGAGCGCATCACCGTCCTCTTTACCACCAATGCCTCCGGTACCTGTAAACCAAAGTTATCGGTGATTCACACAGCCCGCAAGCCGCACGCCTACAAGAATATGGACATGAACAAGCTTAATGCCCACTGGCTAACCGCACGTAAGGCGTGGATGTTCTCTGCTCTGTCCCTCTCCTGGTTTGACGACTGTTTCGTTCCAGACGTCAAGAAATTCTGCGAGCAACAGAATGTTCCATTCAACATTTTGTTGCTCCTTAACAACGCACCAACATAAAAGTGGTCTTCCTTCCTCCCAACACTATGTCATTAATCCAGCCCATGGACCAGGAGTTGATCTGCAATGTTAAAGCTGCATACTCGGCAAAGAAATTCAAGCTCCTGAACGACTCTACCAACACCAAGGATGAGTTGCGTAAGCTGGGTGACACCGACAGCGAGAGTAAAAGCGATGAGGACAAGGAACAAGAGGTGGTGACTCAAGAAGTTCTCGTCAAACAGTTTTGGAAGAAATTTAACGTCAAACAAGCTGTAGACTTCTTGGTGGGGGCATGGGATCAGCTGTCTATTGCTACGATTCGTCACGCATGGAGGCATGTGTTGCATGGCATACCAGGTGAGAGGAGTCAACATGTGACTGGTGAGGTTCAGTCTGTGACAGTGGCATTGGACCTTGCAAGAGAAGCTGCGCACAGTATTACAGCTGAAGGCTTCTCCGAGACCACCAACGAAGACATCCTGGAGGTGATCAGAGATCCTGAAATGACTGCCGACGAGATGTTGGAAGATGATCACGTCAGTGAAGAGGAAGATGGTGCGTCAATCTCCGAAGAACACAAGTTAACGCATACCGTAGTCATATTAAGGGTGCCATCGAGTGTGCAGAAAAATTGAAGCTCTTCCTTTCCAACGACAATGACGATGACCGCTATGAAGTCTTCCATACCCGGCTGGTGCAGGCTATGGAGCCGTAAATCAAGGTGTATCAAGACAACATCAACACTAGCCGTCAAAAAAGCATTACCGAGTTCTTCGCCCGCAACCCACCACAGCCAGCCAGAGCCAGTGATAGTGACAGTGAAGGTGAAGGTGACTTTGAGGGGTTTGTCAGGGAGGCCCTGACAACTATAACGGATAGTGATGGTGATTCACCTGGTGATGGTGATTCACCTGAGGGCCAGTAATCTGCCCTCTGCCTTGGAACCAGCCTCCATCCCCGTATGCCGACCCATCTCTTCTACTAACGTAAGTGTTACACCTAACTTTTAGTTTTCCTAACCTAACCTTTATTTTTCCTAACTTAACCTTTATTTTTCCTAACCTAACCTCTTCTATATTACTTGTTTGTGCATACCATCATAAAGTTAAGATAAAATTTTTACTACAACATAGTCGTGTGTTGTCAAAAAGTGGAGTTTGGGGGTCGGGCCAGTCTCTATTGGAATTAATCCCATATGTTCTGTTGTTCACTTTACGCGGATTTCACTTTCCGCGGTACCCTGTGGGTTCAATTGATCGCGTAAATCGGGGTACCACTGTAGTTTAAATAATTCTAAGTCACTTTTCTTCTATAACGTTTCTCTCACATATGACCTATAATTTTGGGACGGGGGGGGTTAGGTTTGGAGGCTAGAATTGAATTGAATTGAATTATAACAATTTATTTAGCCAGAAAAATACAGATACAGAGTGGATAATAATTACAATATTAACATGGCTGAGCCAGTTGAGAACCTGAGCTCTCTTTGAGGAAGTTAGGTTCAGTTAAGTTGGTTAAGTCAGGTCATTTGCGAGAGAAAATAAATTGAAAGTGCCTTGGAATAGTTTAAACTATTAATTGCAAAAATAAAATTCCCGAGATTTTAATTATGTCCTCCATTATACACTGACCAGAGTCACAACAACAATAAGAACTTTTTTACTTTTATCCTATTGCCACTGAATGGCTCGTTGCCACTTGGGCGGTCAGTTACATCTCTGTTACACACTGTTGGCAAGAACTAGGCATGCACCGGCTCCTGAATGTACCTGAACCTGCTCCAGTGTTGGTCAAGTCTGGTCTTGAAAGAGCTCACACTCGCAGAGCCGTCTTAACCGGTCCAACTAATTACCCAAATGAACCCAAATGTACCCAAATGTAGCCACAATGAAGTCATATGATGGTCCTACAAGCGTAAATCGGGCTGTGAATCACTTCTCGATTATTATTTGATGTTATAAAGTCACAAAAAATTGGTAAACTTAATTTAATCTGAGTTGTGTTAGGTTAGGTTAGGTACATGCACTCGATCTATTAACTCAGATTAAATGAACTTTACCAATTTTTTGTGACTTCGTGACACCAAATACTAGTCGAGAAGTGATTGGAAGTCCGATTTATTCTTGTAGGACCATCATTTGACTTCATTGTGGCTACATTTGGATTCATTTGGGTAATTAGTCGGACCGGTCTTAACGCATGGGCACTCTAGGCAGCTGCCCAGGGCCCCATGATTTTAGGAGCCCTGTGAATAGAGCACACCACTACTAAATTAATGAGTAGGTTATGATGCACCTAATGAAGTACATAAGGTTGCTGGGCCTGTCGAAGTCAGCCACCAAACCTCAGAGAATAATCTAGATTTAAGACATAGAAAAATTTAACAACCTTGTATCCATAGGAAGAAAAAATAGGAAATTTACTAAACCATTACAGAACAAATCACCATGTAGCAAACGTTTGTGTTGAACAGTTATTGCTCTACCAATTAATGATATGTTTAAACGTTTGTGTTATTCAACGTACCAATTAATTATATGTTTAATTTTACTGAAAGTTCTAGTTTTCATTTGAGTGGGTGGGTGGGTAGGGGCCCGAGGACATTGCTTAGTCCAGGGCCTACAATGAGTCATCACAACAGTAAGAGCCACAACAGCAACAGTAAGAGCCACAACACAACAGCACAACAGTAAGAGCCACAACAGCAACAGTAAGAGCCACAACACAACAGTAGAGCCAGTAAGAGCCACAACACAACAGTAAGAGCCACAACACAACAGTACAACACAACAGTAAGAGCCACAACAATGAAGAGCCACAACAGTAAGAGCCACAACACAACAGTAAGAGCCACAACACCACACACAACAGTAAGACCCACAACACACAACAGTAAGAGCCACAACACAACAGTAAGAGCCACAACACAACAGTAAGAGCTACAACACAACAGTAAGAGCCACAACACAACAGTAAGAGCCACAACACAACAGTAAGAGCCACAACACAACAGTAAGAGCCACAACACAACAGTAAGAGCCACAACAGCAACAGTAAGAGTCACAACAGTAAGAGCCACAACAGTAAGAGCCACAACACAACAGTAAGAGCCACAACAGCAACAGTAAGAGTCACAACAGTAAGAGCCACAACAGTAAGAGCCACAACACAACAGTAAGAGCCACAACTCACCTGGATATGAAGATCGTGCTCATATTACACCAATGATGAGATACGGAGCAGCTATTGTAGAGGTAATTGAGCCTTAATGGTGTAGTAGAAGAGACAACTAGAGGAGATAATAACGTCCTCCTCAGGTACTGTAGAGACAACTATGGTGATAATAACGCCCTCCTCAGGTGCTGTCTCACTTTTTTACCTTTCTACTACCTTTCCGGCTTATTTTTCTCCCACATCTGTGCTTGACTGAGTTCTTCACACACTACCGTAAGCTTCTACACATTTAAAGTATGGATAAAGGGTTAGAAATGTGAGTAATAATAGGAAGAGTGTTATCGAGCCGCCGCCGCCGTGTCACAAACAAACAGTTCAGATGATGCAAAATGGCGCACCGACCACAGTAAATACTTCACCACTTACTACTACACCTCTCACATACACCTCCTTCTGGTGCAACAATTATCTTTTGTAGTTACCTTATATCACTTGTTTTGATATAGTAATACAAGGCCGTCTATCATTATTAATTAATGAGAATATTTATCAGATGTGTTCATTAAATATCTACATATTATGTAATATTTATTCTTGCACGTAATGACAATATATTATTAAAAAAAATAATTAAGATATTTACTATATCTGTTACTATATATATAATATATACGTGAGTTTTTATAAGAAGAATTACAGCACCTGTAGGTAAAGTATTTCCTTCATAATACAACGTAGTCAACTAACTCCTATAATTATTCAATATTTTTTTCCTATTTCATTCAATACTAGTTTGCATTATTATTTATACTTAGTGACTCAGATTTGAGCTCACACATAATTATTGCGTACGTACACTCCTTTATCCTCTTGTCAGCCTTTTTCGTTACTTTTGGTTTAATTTTTAATTTTTGTCGTCTTCGCCACTGATCGACTCGCTAGCCGCCCGGGCTATCGGTCACGTCTCTGTCACACACTGTTGGCAAGTACTGGGCATGCACCAGCTCCTGAATGTACCTGAACCTGCTCCAGTGTTGGTCAAGTCTGGTCTTGAAAGAGCTCACACTGGGTGCCGTCACAACACTCTCTGGTAGATTGTTCCAAGAGTTTACAACTCTCACTCCGAAAAAGTTTGCCCTCACAGTTTTCTGGACTTGCGGCTTCTTCAATCTTGAGCTGTGACCCCTTGTGGGGCGAGCGTCCGCCAGCTCCAAGTAAGGACACTCAACTGAGTAGTGCCCCCTGAGATGCTTATACACCTCAACTAGGTCCCCCCTTGCCCGTCTGTAGTATAAGCTGGGCAAGTTCAGGCGCTCCAATCTCTCTGGGTAGCTGAGGTGCCGAAGTGCAGGCACCAGTCTGGTGGCCCTCCTTTGAACATTTTCAACCAACTGACAGTCCTTAGCATATCTCGGGGACCAGACGGGGTGACAGCACTCCAGATGGGGAAGCACTTCACTCTTGAAGATCGTTACGAGGGACGTTCTTATAAGACCAAATAATTTATTTGCCTGATTTACCTTCTCGCAATGGCCCGAGAACTTCAGCTCATTGTCAACATACACACCGAGGTCCTTCTCACATTCAGTCTCAAATACTGTAGTGAAGTTTCTTTATCCCGTTGGGACATATGATACGCCTCCTTACCGTTGGTACATCCCAGGTGCATCCTCTTACACTTCGTGCCATTGAATCTCAGCAGCCATTTCTTCGACCATTCTTGGAGCTCACAGAGGTCCTTCTGCAGCTCTTTACAGTCCGCATGGTTCTTGATTTTCCGAAATAACTTGGCGTCATCGGCAAACATTTGTGTGGAGGAGCGTACAACGTCAGGCATGTCATTTATGAAACAAACAAACAACAGCGGGCCCAATACACTGCCCTGTGGTACCCCACTTGTGACAGGTACAGATAATGATTCTGTGCCATTAATCACCACACACTGCTTGCAGTCATGTAGAAAGTCTTCTATCCACGCTAGGATATTTCCTCGAATTCCGTACCTTTTGAGTTTGATTTTCAGCCTTTCATGGGGTACACTGTCGAAAGTCTTGGCAAACTCTAGGTATATATTGTCGATATTACCACCTCGTGCCAGATTATGGTTCCAAATATCTAATACCTTGAGCAATTGTGTTAAGCAGGAACGCCCCGGCATAAAACCGTGTTGGCAATCCTGTACAAGGTTGTTTCATATTAGATGTTCCATCGCGACATCTCTGATAATACTCTCAAGTACAGTAAAAGTCCAAAAATCCGGATGCCAGAAATCCGGACCACCCGAGAAACCGGACTTTTCGAAAACTCAAACTAAACTTTTATTTATTTATTTATGATTTTTATTTAATTTTTTTAGCTGGCTTTTGTGTGTATGTGTGCATGCGCGAGCGCCACAGCTGCACAGCGACAACAAGCGACCACGCGGTCGCCACTTTAAAACGAGCAATCAAACTGTGACAACGTATGTAATTTTGAGTCCTACTCTTTCCATTTACAGAGTACTGTACAAGCCCATAATAATGGGCTCGTTGTGTGAAGAGAAAGAAGAACACGTTGAAATTGAGTGACAAACTTGAAATAATTAAGAAACTAGAACGTGGTGTGAGCAATACTGTTCTAAAGGAAACATACGACATTGGAAAGTCTACAATTTATGATATAAAAAAGGCAAAGAATAAAATTTTAGAATTCACAGCTTTATCTTTAAAACTGCTCATTTTGATAAATGAACCATGCTATATTTGCGAATGAATAAACTATCAAAATGTACCTGTTCATCTCTTCTTTATTTCTCCTGAAATTTGAATTTTAAAAGTACTGCCTGAGAATCCGGAAAATCCGAAAATCCGGACCGACCCAATCCCAAGCAGTCCGGATTTTTGGACATCTACTGTACTGTACTTTACATATTATGCTCGTCAGGCTCATTGGTCTATAGTTGTTCGTGGAGTGACGATCGCCCTTCTTGAAGATAGGACTCGCATAAGCCACTTTCCAATCACTGGGAACCTTTTTGTTCATCTAGGCATTTACAAAACAGGATCTTCAGGGCCTCGGCAAGCTCGTTGCACAACTCTCTTATGGACCTTTAGCTTTGACAATTTATTTCTAATACCCTCTTTTGTGAACACAATGCGGGTCAGTGCTGTTTCGAACCATAAGTCCTCAAACGCAGGAAGGTTAATCGCATCCTCTCTTGTGAACACCGAGGAAAAGAAGCTGTTCAATGCCTCGGCTTTATCCTGGTCAGAATCTGCGTAACTACCACCTTCAAGCCTCAGGTCTGATACTCCGACTCGCATTTTTTATTTTGACTTTGCATAGCAATAAAACACCTTTGGGTTTGACTTGACCTCGCTTACAACCAGCTTCTGGAACTCCTTTTCAGTCCTTCTACACTCTACCTTTGCTTGGTTTCTGGCTCTTGCATACATCCTCCTGTCTTGCTCATCGTTTGACCCAACCCACGTCTTGAATTTCTGGGTTTTCTTCTTTACTTTGTCGACCTCCGCATGGTTCATGTGTAGGGATCCCCTTGTATTCCTAGAGGCACTTGGTTTGGTCTTGGGTATATATATATATACTGTATATCGATCAAATGGGTTACTTGAAGAGGTGTAATAATGCACATGTATTTTAATGTATTAATTCCTTTATTTTACCGTGTACCTATTCTTCTTTACTTCATGTTTCACTTTTTAGTGTATCAATCTACACAGCATCCATCTACTATACCTACCTATATACTTCCTCTATGTCTGTGAATCACTCCATCCATGTTGTTCTTTTTCTCATTTGTAATAAAACAAGAGGTACACGGAGTCCTTTGTTGGGTCATATAATGGCCTAATACAGCGTTATTTGCTTATCTAGGTACTGTAGTCTTAACCTAGGCACCTTCATTCCTTTCGAAAGCTGTTCAGATGGATATAAAACTCATCTTTATTTTTATTTATTTATTTTTTATGGGGATTAGCTCACCCGGGCACAGGTCAACAATCCACAACGGGGCCTAGGAGGCGAAAAAATAAGAATAGAAAGAAATTAAAAATAGTAAATGAAAAGGTTATATTAATCTACAGCACAAAGATGCTGGAAAACCATCTTTTTAAAGTGAGACAGATTGTATGAGTATGGAATCACAGAAGAAGGCAGAGCATTCCACAGTTTGGTTGTGTGAGGAAAGAAGGAGGTACTATAACGGGTTATTCTCGTGTGACCGACATCCACAGAGAAACGGTGGGCACCGCGGGCAAGACAGGTGTTACAAGCCCAAAGCCTTGCTGCCGGTACACAGGATGCCAAATCCACCGAACATTGCCCATTAAAGTACCTGTAAAAAGAGAGAGAGTGAAGCAACATTGTGGCGGAGTGAAAGGGAAGAAAGATTATCAACTAAAGGAGGTGAGTTAATAAGACGAAATGCTTTTGATTCCACCCTATGTAACAGTTGGATAGAAGAAGAGCCACCCCATATATTAGAGCAGTACTCCAAGTTAAGACAAATGAATCCCTTATATACTTGAAGCAACTGCTCAGGAGTGAAGTAGCTATGGCATCTGTACAACATTCTCAACTTTCAGAAGGTAGCTTTAGCAATGTTGAGGATGTGTGGCTTCCATGACATATTAGAGGAAATGGTGAGGCCTAGCATATCTATTTTAGAATTTGGCAGAATAATAGCATCCTGAAATGTGATTGGTGGGAGATCATTTAATTTAGAAAGTGTAATTGGTGAATACTGAGTTTTATTACTACTGAATTTAACCAAGTTTCTACCTCCCCATGCAGAGATGCTGCACAGATTCGTATTGATAGATGTAATGATATCAGCTCTAGAAACACATCTAGTTTGAGGGTTAGGGGGAAGTGGAAAATGTGAAGAAATAAAATCATTAGCGTAAGAATGAATAGAATTAGTTGTACTGTAGTGTGAAGTAAATCATTGATAAAAAGAAGGAAGAGAGTAGGTGAAAGAACAGAACCCTGTGGGGCACCACTATTGGTAGAGAAAGAGCGAGAGATCGATCCCTCAACAATAACTGCCATGGATCGGTTCTCAAGGAAGCTAGAGATTAGAGAACAAAGTGGGGAAGAGAAACCATAAGAGGAAAGTTAAGAAAGCAAAGACTTATGCCATACCCTGTCAAATGCTTTGGAGATGTTGAGAGCCATGATGAAAATTTCCCATAATCCCTGCATGTCTCTTCCTGTTGAGTAACACTGCTAATACTCTTGAGTGTTATGGCCTATTACGGAACTGTGAGGTTCATTACAATAAGTCACTTAATTTCCTGCTTGTGATAACTTACCCATCACATGTCCCAACAGGACAAAGAGACTGCATTAATAAAGACCAAATGTGAAAAGGACCTGGGTGTGTATGTTGACATTGAACTTAAGTTCTCAGGCCACTGTGAGAAGATGAATCAATCAATGAAACTAGTAGGTCTTATAAGAAAGTCGTTCGGATATCTAGACGGCCCGTCCCTCATAATAATTTTCAAGCATAAGGTGCTTCTCCGTCTGGTTCCTGAGATATGCTAGAGATTGTCAATTTATTGAAAATGTCCAAAGGAGGGACACCAGACTGATGCCTGCTCTACGGCACCTCAGTCACCCAGAGATTAGAACGCCTGCTACTGCCTTGCTTGTACTACAGACGGGCAAGGGACGACCTAATTGACGTGTAAAAACATCTCAGGAGGCAGTACTCAGTTGAATGTACATTCTTTCCTGGAGCTGGCAGACATCTGTCCCACAAGGGGTCACAGGCTCATAGCTCAAGGTTGAAGAAGACGCTAGTCCAGAAAACTCTAAGGGCAAATTTTTTTGGAGTGAGAGTTGTGAACTCTTGGAACATTCTGCCAAAGAGCATTGTGACAGCACCGAGTGTGAGCTCTTTCAAGACCAGATTTGACCAATACTGGAGCAGGTTCAGATGCATTCAAGAGCCAGTTCACTTCCAGTACTTGCTCTACAGCACGAGACAGAGATGTGACCGACCACCCAAGCAGCTAACGAGCCGATCAGTGGCAAAGACGATAAAGTTAATGTAAAATAAAATTTTACCCCCTCATACTTTATTCTCCTCGCCACTAATCGGTTTGTTAGCTGCTTGGGAAGTCAATCGTCTCTGCTATACAACTGTTGGCAATACTGATTCTCTGTTACACCCTATCATAATGTACACACTAGTAGTACATGGTATTGCTACTACACCCTAACAATGTACACACCAGTAGTACATGGTATTGCTACTACACCCTAACAATGTACACACTAGTAGTACATGGTATTGCTACTACACCCTAACAATGTACACACCAGTAGTACATGGTATTGCTACTACACCCTAACAATGTACACACCAGTAGTACATAGTATTGCTACTACACCCTAACAATGTACACACTAGTAGTACATGGTATTGCTACTACACCCTAACAATGTACACACTAGTAGTACATGGTATTGCTACTACACCCTAACAATGTACACACCAGTAGTACATGGTATTGCTACTACACCCTAACAATGTACACACCAGTAGTACATAGTATTGCTACTACACCCTAACAATGTACTCACCAGTAGTACATGGTATTGCTACTACACCCTAACAATGTACAATCAAAGGCAAAAGTCGTGTTGCGGTTTTGTCCGAAGATTAAATATAACTCGTGAAACATTATGAGAGCCCCCTACCACAAGGCAGAGTGCACCAAAAGTTTTAGCCCTTCGGCAGATGTTTTCACCAAATTTCACGACACGACTTTTGTCTTTCATTGTACACCCTAGTAGTGTACTACACCCTAGTAGTACATGTTACTACTACTACACTCCACCATAATGTACTGTACACCCCAACAGTACATATTACTAGTATTTAACCTAACATAATTTATATGTTAGAATAAACTTGTAAAGTCCACTGGTAATTCCCATCTAATGATCAATGAAAAATAAATTTGTCTTTCGTTAGTATATAATAATAATCAAATTTAGAAACATAAAAGACGTACATTTTATGCACTTGCAAATGGCCTCAGATTTGTTATATTAGGCCTACCACGTGCAGAATTTTTTAATTCATTATCCACATGGTCAAATGAATACCCATGAAGTTGGTTAATTTGTAAACACTGTTAAACTTTCATTATATGATCTTTAAAAGCATAGATTCGCCTCAATAAAGAATGAAATACAAAACAAAAGTCATAATCCAAATTTATTATAGATATAGTAAACATTTTATTTATCATATAAACACAAAATTACAAAATCACATGACCACCTTCTGCTATTGTGACATGTACAGTTTGGTCTAACAGACTCCTCGCTATTACAGTACATTTAATCTTCCTTTCTTTTTTTATCTTCTGATTTTTCATTAATTCCATTTCTTATATCATGCCACTTCTTCTTAATATGCTGGGTATTACCCCAAATGTATTTAGGACCATAACTTGCATAGATAAGTCCAAACAATGCCCCTCCCAGGTGAGCAGCGTGGTCAAACATCCGCCACCCGAGGGCCATTCCTACAGCATCTAAACACATTACTCCCTTGAGAGCCATATCTGCAGAAAAATTAAGTCCAGGAACAAAGACAATGCCAAGCTGGGCATTTGGGTGTTGGGTACAAAAAAAGCCAAGAAGAGCCATTATAGCCCCAGAGGCGCCAAGTGATGGTCCTGGACACTTCATAACCACTTTAAATGTATGACTGGCCAGTGATGATATTACCCCACCACTTAAGTACATAGCAACAAATTGTTCCCTACCTAGTGAGCCACAAACTCCAGAACTAAAACTATGTAATACATACATATTCATAGCAAAATGGAAAAATGCAAAATGACTAAAAGTGGAAAGGAACATTGGCCAACAAACAGCTCGAGCTGCAGGATTGGAGCAGAAGTAGCGTAACATAGTTCTCTGTAAAGTGGGTTTGTTCCAACAGGCAAATACAACACCATTGAAAAAACAAATAGGCCAAAACACTTTCTGGCCTTCACTCAGTCCATTCCACCACTCATTTATAGCCTTCCGGAATTCACCTTCTTTGTGTTGCCAGCCTTCTAAATTATGCCACTGTTGGTTTGCCCAGCTCGTCCATGAACTTTGTTGAAGCCGGGACCGTACCGATTCGTATTGCCATATTGTTGCTGCCAGGAAAGTGGCACTACAAAACCCACTAGCAAATATAAAGCTTTTTATTAACCCTCTGCTCATATTATTCTCATTGGGGGTTTCTATAAGTTCATTTGGAGCCAAGTTCATTCCACCTTGTCTGTTTCTTCCACGTGGCTGCCGAATACCACGCGTTATGATGGTAGTTGGAGATCCATTTCCTTTCCCAAAACAAGAGCACAAAGAAATGTTTGGTGGTACATATCTCGAAAACTGCACACCTCTTACTATACGTGACAGCACTGTCATTGTTACACTGACCACAGACAATCTGAAAATAAAAATGAAAGTCAGTGTATATAATACACACGACAGCACCACATCATTTGTGACTGAAATATTTATCTGAACTTGTAACATTAGAAAAAACACCAAAGAAAAAAGAAGCAAAAAAGTAATAAGCTACAGCTACTGCACATTACCAAGGATAAGTTACACTGCTAACAATCTAATTTACCCATGAGTAAGAAAAGAACAATAAATTATTAACAATTACTGAACATCACAAATCTTACATCCAGAACACACAACACCTCTGAGAAGCAGCCACTGGCAGATGACTTCCTGCCCTTTTTTTTTATGGGGAATAGCCAACCTGGGGACAAGTTATAGACCCCCTAGGGGCGAAAAAAAGACTAAAGAGAAATAAAAAATAGGAAAGAAAAAGATTATATTACTCTACACCACGAAGATGCCGTTAAACTGCCTGCATGCTCCACGTCAACTTTGATCACTTGGTTGGTCTGTGGCAGCAGTTCTCTCATTTTGTAGATATGTAGTTAAAAAAATTAATTTGTCCGCATCATTATTTAAAATTTAAGATATGCTTAAACTATTGTACTGAGCATTTACTCACCTCGTGTTCCCAATTTGCTGTACTGTGCAGTATTATATATACTGTACCATATACAGTATGTGTATGTATACAGTATACTGTATACAGTCCTGTATATATTATACTAAGTTAAGTTTTAACAATAAAATACTTTACAGTATTGCAACTCCTCTAAGCTAAACTAAAATCAAACTAATTTACCAACTATGCCCACCCCCTCCTGAACATGATTGAGAATAAACGTGATTGGTTGGCGGATAAGGTGGAGAGCGTCCGGGAAGTTAAGAATTATAATTACTGTATTGCTCAACAGCCTGACTCCCAGATAAAAACCACAATCACTTTATATCACTTTTCATTTTCTTTCTAATATTAATGTTCAATACATTAATTTTCACATCCTTGCTTTTGAACATTACTTCCGATGATTACTGATTTGTGAAAATACTGTAGGTAGATTGAAAAGAAAAAGTGAGTGACCAAATGCTGAAAATCACTTTAACCAATGAGAGACGACTGAGGAGGTCATAGCTGCCAAATTAATTTGATTATACAGGTAGTATAGTCACATAATATGTTGTTTAATTGTTTGTTATCTAACATAATGGAGTGCACATTGTGTTCTCGGATGAGGTTATAAGAAATAAACTGTCAAAGCTAAAGATTCACAAGAGTCCCAGCCCTGTACTGCATACTGATCTCTATAATCTCTTCTGATTCATATTACAGCTGCATAATCAAACTCACTGCACTATGGGAACATCTACGTTTTCTAGCTGGAAGTGTCACAGAAAATGGTAAACACTTGGAAGGGGTAATTCGTAAGCTGTATATTTTATACAAATTATACCAGTGTCTGTGCCTATAATCTTAAGTATGTATACTGATAGTATTAAGGAAGAACTCACGGTACAGTATAAACAATAATTGGGAAGGCCCAATCGGTACGGGCTTGTGTACTACAGTATAGTGAATAAGTGTGACCGTGTCTGAAAGTTATGGTATTTACGTCTGTGTACAATTAGTAAACATAGCCACCTCAGGTATCAGATGAAAATATATGAGAACAATGATCTGGGAAAAGGATAAATGTATCAGACATATGTGAAGTGTTGGGGTTGACCCATAAACTCCAAGGAAAATATCTTCTGTACCTCGGGTTGAACTTGATACACCTCGTTACCCCATGTGACGAATAGCCAAGAACGGTGCGGTGCTTCAAGAATCTTATGAAAGTGTTAAACAATTGCAGAGTGTGGGGGGAATGAACCATACATTGGGAATAAAGTGAAGTGGATATACCCAAGCCAAGAACCAAGGCTTTTGTTAGTTCTGGCGCCTAAATCGCCTGAGGCTACAATTTCGAGGTACAGTAGTGAGGTATACAAAATAATTTACCCGAACCTGACAAACCAAACATTCACTGGAGTACGTATGTAATTTAGAATTAAGGTATGTAACGATAAGGCATAAAATCGCAATATCTAATAAAGTGTATGTGTGGGGGCTACAATAAAGACGTGGTGATTTGTAAGCGTTGGCACCCGTAGACCTAGTCGGCTGCAGACACTGAGGCTCGCTCTCAGTGACTTCTTGAATCCTATATGAGCAGGTCAGTACAAGCTGGTGTTATGTCATGAGTACTTAAAGAGGCTTATCTAGTACAGTATTTTATATATATCTTAAAGCCTTGTCTAATGTTATTGTTAATATATTAAGTTAATTAATAGGTTTTGTAATGTTGTGTGTTAATACAAAGGCCCATCAGGCATTAAACAAATTTCTCAGAGACTTCCCGGATTATACAGTATATGAGCAAGTGTGGGCGAGAGGGTGGGCAGTGAAAACTATGGAAGAGACAAGTGAGGTCAGAGGGAATGCTTGGCCCAGCAACCACTGTTTTACTTTGAGGAACCCACCTGGGGTTGTGGGTTATGCTTATAGCTGCTATGCAACCTCCCCTAAGGATCTCTGGATATCTCACACTTCAGCACCCTGAATGTGAAGAGATGTTGGTGCTACTTGAGGTGCTTACTGTCACTACTTTTAGCAACCTAATGATACCAGACACAGAACTAGTCCTGGTATGAATGTCTGTGAAGGATCTCATCTACCTAACAAGAGTAGAGGGTGAGACGAGTACCTGCTGTGTGTACCTTGGTACTAAGATGCGCTACAGTACCTGTATGTGTTGTGTGTGTTACTGAATGGTCCTTATTTGGTGATTATTGGGGAAAGAGTGACAAGGTAAGGAGGTCAATTATTTTGTCTGGAGAGAAGAACATAATTAATTATTTGGAGAAGGTTGGGCATTTTTGTGTGGTGCAGTGACCCTAATACAGTATTTGTTTGGGGAAGATCAGCTATTTTTGTATTTTGACTGAATGCGATATATTTAATGTTTAAAATAAATTAGTTAAGGATACTGGCTGGTGTTTCACCCTTCCTTCCACTCTCAACTTGATTAATGAAAAAACGAACTCACAATGTCTGGACTGCTTTGCCAGGTACCTAAAGAACACTACACATAATGTCCTGCTGTCTAGTGGCAGCAACCTTGTTAAGAAGTCGGTTAAGAAAAACATAGTATTAAGTGACCGCAATAAAGGGCAATATACCAGAGTGTTAAGAGAACTGTGTAATGAGCTTGTGGAGCCCCTTAAGATCCTGTTTTGTAAATGCCTGGAAGAGCAAAAGGTCCTCTATGACTGGAAAATGGCCTATGTGAGTCCTATATACAAGAATGGCGATTATCACTCCACGAATAATTATAGACCAGTGTGCCTAACCAGCATAGTGTGCAAAGTACTAGAGAGCATTACAAGAGATGGCATGATGGAACATCTACGAAACAATCTTGTAAAGGAATGCCAACACGGTTTTATGCCGGGACAATCATGCTTAACACAATTACTCAAGGTACTGTACTGGATGTTTGGACTCAAATTCTAGAACAAGGCGGAAATATCGACATATGTATATACCTAGATTTTGCCAAGGCTTTCGACAGCATACCCCAGGGAAAAGGCTGAGAATTAAACTGGAAGGGTACGGGATTCGGGGAAGTGTCCTAGAGTGGATTGGAGACTTTCTGCATGACTGCAAACAATTGGGGTGATGAATGGCACAAAATCATCTTGTGTACCTGTGACAAGCGGGGAACCACAGGGCAGTGAATTGGGCCTGTTGCTGTTAGTTTGTTTCATAAATGATATGCCAGAAGATATACACTCCTCCATACAAATGTTTGCGGATGATGCCAAGTTATTTAGGGAAATTAAGAACCAAATAGACTGTGAAAAGCTACAGAAAGATATGAGCTTCAAGAATAGTCAAAGAAATGGCTGCCAAGATTCAATATAATGAAGTGCAAAAGAATGCACCTGGGTCACACCAACAGCAAGGAGGCGTATCACATGTCCCAACAGGAAGAAGAGACTTGATTAATTGAGACAATGTAAAAATGACCTAGGTGTGTTGTTGACAAGGAACTTAAGTTCTCAGGCATTGTGAGAAGGTGAATCAGGCAACAAAACTAGTAGGTCTTATAAGAAGGTCGTTTAGATATCTGGATGGTCTGTCATTCATCACGATCTTCAAAAGAAGGTGCTTCCCCATCTGGAGTACTGTCACCCCATCTGGTTCCTCATATATGCTAGAGATCGTCAATTGATCGAAAATGTCCAAAGAAGGGCTACCAAACTGGTGCCTGTTCTATAGAACCTCGGTCACCCAGAGATTAGAACACCTGCAACTGCCTAGCTTATACTACAGATGGGCAAGGTTCGACCTAATTGAAGTGTATAAACATCTCAAGAGCAGTACTCAGTCGAATGTACGGTACATACTTGGAGCTGGCAGACGCTCGCCCCACAAGGGGTCACAGCTCAAGGTTGAAGAAACCACAAGTCCAGAAAACTGTGAGGGCAAACTTTTTCCGAGTGAGAGTTGTGAACTCTTGAAACAATCTGCCAGAAAGTGTTGTGACAGCACCCAGTGTGAGCTCTTTCAAGACAAGACTTGACCAACACTGGAACAGGTTCAGGCGCATTCAGGAGCCGGTGAATGCCCAGTACTTGCCAACAGTGCGTAACAGAGACGTGACTGACTGCCCAAGCAGCTAACGAGCCAATCAGTGGCGAAGAGGATAAAAGTAAAAGTAAGTAATGTACAGAATCTCAGTATTAGTTCCTTTTTTTTCAATATAAAAATACAATATAGCTGTAGTGTTTTAGGTTAAGTTAGATAGCTTCTGGCAACTGATAACAAAGTACTGTAGCAGATACTGCTACATTCTATAATTTATGGTTCATAAAATGAGGCAACTTTACCTACCTAACCACAATTAACCTACCAAATTTTATCTAAGATAACCTGAAATACTACCTAACCAAACCAAAACAAATTTACAAGAACAACATTGGTGTTGCACCTACTGTGCGCATGATCACTGAGAAGACAGCACCACCTGCATCTGTTTAAGCCGAAAGAAATCATATAATTTATATGACACAAAACATACTACTCATGATTTTTTTTTTTTGTGGGGTGAAAGAAAGTGTGTTCCATAGGCATGACTGCCCATTAAGGACAGCATGGCCAATACTGCTCTCGACTGCATTCACTTCCCTCAGTTGTAAACTTTGTTACCTATTTACAGCTGGGTGAGCTGGGAGCACCCAGGCGAGCACTGTATCCACTGGACCACATAATTATTATAGAGCATAACTGTTTTATGGTTAAATTTTTTACAGTTGGAAGTTAAGGCACTCAGTTGTTCTTAGTTTTTAGCTACCAAATGAAGTATAGTTGAATACATCAAATATTACTTATACTGTATGGCTCTGTAGTGAAAAACAAAGTTAAAAGTCGTTTTTATCCAAATAGGTATTTCAAATATTCTGCCTTTACCACTAGAATTCCTTCTTTTAGTTAGGAATCAATCCTCCTGAATAGGTAGGTGGCAATGGTAGGTTAGGTCCCCCCCACAGATACATGGCAATAGAACGTTAGCCTCTTTTGGTCTGAGAAAATTATTTTTCCAGCATAGTTTGGTGTTTTTTAATCAAGTCTGAAAGTCATTTCTTGTTAAAATTAGCCATTTTTGGGTGTTTATTGATTCCTCATAGAAATAAAATAAAAAAATGGCTCATTTTTGCAAGAAACATAATGTTAGAAACAATTAAAACACACCAAAATACTGTACACTAGAAAAATATCTCAAACCAATTGGGGAAATTGGGATAAAAACAAATTTTGGCCCAAAATAATCTTAGTTCTAAAATAATGATTAATTTAAAGTTAAAAAACTAAACATTACATTGACAGTATCATATCATTGGTAGACTTTTAAGTCATTTTCATTATTGCTACCCATCTCATTTATAAATGTTAAAGTAAAATCCCCAGTAAATGTCTGGAGAACACCGGCTCCTCGACCCAGGAACAAGACGAGGATTTTCTGATTAGTTTTGTGCTCCATCTACTTGTGATAACTGTTAATACGAGAGAAGAAAGTTATGCAAGTGGACAGGGCTTTGAAGAAGAGGAATGTGGGGTTAAAACATGTACTGTAAAACATTGTGTTTTACCTTATTTTTACCAGCTTTTAGGTTATGGTGTTTCTTTCATTATTCTTGGCAGCGTTGCAAATATTCAACCTCTCCACAGAAAATTATGGCTGTTGTTACAAACACTAACATAACCTAACCTAACTTATTGAAAGAGGAGAAATGGGCCACAACTCATAACTGAACTTTTACACAAGAAACGGTGGATAAGGCATATACAGTAAACCACCCTAGAGAGGGGTGCAGCAACTGTTGTCAATGTACTCTACAGGTTTAGCCAAATCTCCAGAATACTGACTACTGCCAGCTTAGAGTTAACTAAATATTTTCACTAAATAAATGAAACTTGTAATAAAGGAAGTAATTTGCGATAGAAATAAACATCAAAATCGTTCAAAATACATCAAAATTCATCGGAAAAACATAATTTCAACCAAACCCATAAAAATCGGTCACAGCACTGCTTCTCAAATGTAACCTAACCAAACCTAGTCTAATCTATCCTAACGTACTGTGTGGAGAATTGCTATAGAAGAAACGAGTCTTGGAATTGTCTAAACTACCAATTCCAAAACTTAAAATCCTAAAATTTGCTGGATGACTGAAACAATATTACCCTGATATTTCCCTATAACTGTCAGTTTATGATTGTAGCCAGGTTTTGAATTCCATTATTTTATTGTACGTCGACACCAGCCTCTAAGGTAAGAACGCGATCAACACTGAGGGGGGAGGGGGGGTCCGAGGTCAGGATTTTATGGTTAGGTTAGGTCCTTCCCTCATCCCTGTCATGGGCGAGTGAGGCTTAACCAAGAAACAGGCAGTTAGGTTAGGTTAAGTCCTTCCTTCATCCCTGAAATGGGGGACTGGAGGGGGGCTTAACTCGGAAACAGGCAGTTAGGTTAGGTAAGGTCAGGTAACCTAACTAAAAAAAAAATAAAAAATTATTTACTTTTACATTCATCCTCTTCACCAAATGATCAGCTCATTAGCCACTTGAGCGATCGGTCACGTCTCTGTTACACACTGTTGGCAAGTACTGGGCATGCACCAGCTCCTGAATGTACCTGAACCTGCTCCAGTGTTGGTCAAGTCTGGTCTTGAAAGAGCTCACACTCGGTGCCGTCACAACACTTTCTGGTAGATTGTTCCAAGAGTTCACAACTCACTCGGAAAAAGTTTGCCCTCACAGTTTTCTGGACTTGCGGCTTCTTCAATCTTGAGCTGTGACCCCTTGTGGGGTGAGCGTCCGCCAGCTCCAAGTAAGGACACTCAACTGAGTAGTGCCCCTTGAGATGCTTATACACCTCAACTAGGTCGCCCCTTGCCCGTCTGTAGTATAAGCTAGGTAAGTTCAGGCGCTCCAATCTCTCTGGGTAGCTGAGGTGCCGAAAGGCAGGTACCAATCTGGTGGCCCTCCTTTGAGCATTTTCAACCAACTGACAGTCCCTAGCATATCTCGGGGACCAGACAGGGTGACAGTTCTCCAGATGGGGAAGCACTTCACTCCTGAAGATCGTTACGAGGGACGGCCCATCTAGATATCTGAACGACCTTCTTGTAAGACCCAATAATTTATTTGCCAGATTTGCCTTCTTCTCGCAATGGCCCGAGAACTTCAGCTCATTGTCAACATACACACCGAGGTCCTTCTCACATTCAGTCTCAAATAGTGCAGTCTCTTCCTCCTGTTGGGACATATGATATGCCTCCTTACCGTTAGTGAGGGTTGTAAACTCTTGGAACAATCTACCAGAAAGTGTTGTGACAGCACCCAGTGTGAGCTCTTTCAAGACCAGACTTGACCAACACTGGAGCAGGTTCAGGTACATTCAGGAGCCGGTGCATGCCCAGTATATGCCAACAGTGCGTAACAGACGTGACCGATAGCCCGGGTGGCTAGCGAGCCGATCTTTTGGTGAAGAGGATGAAAGTAGTATAAGTAAAAGTTAGTATGCCCCAGGTGCATCCTCTTACACTTCGTGACATCTCAGCAGCCATTTCTTGGACCATTCTTGGAGCCCACAGAGGTCCTTCTGCAGCTCTTCACAGTCCCCAAGATAAATGTCAGAATCATCTAAAACAGCAAGAAAACTAGCGAAAAAATATTTTTCTCCTGTGAAAAAAGGTGATGGGTTGTTAACGAAAAATGACCGTCAATTCATACCCAGTACTTGCCAACAGTGTGTAACAGAGACGTACTAACGAGCCAATGAGTAGCGAAGTTAAAAGGAAAAGGACATTTAATTTGTAACTATAAACACACACTTTACATTCAACAGTACGCGTAATATATAACTATACATAAATCTATACACACACTGTTATAAAGCTCCCCTCACACACTTTAGCATTTATATATCAGTAAAATACTCTACCACAAGTCTCACCAGCCACTACCTGTACTGACTGCACTATGACGTAACATGCTTAATAATATTGTTTATAAATTAAAGATTATCTCTTGTTAGTTTGATAAGTATTATTTATATTAATTTAAACGCTGTAATATATTATAAATTGTATTGAAGGTAAGATAAACCTATTACAATAATGTATTTAACATTCTCCAGTTGTGGCCGAGGAATATTATATGTAAACATCTTTTGTCTACCTTTTCTACACAAACAAAATAAATACATCAGTTGTGAAGATGTGGAAGAATATAAATTACTTACATATAAAAAGATACACGTATTTTAGATAACTGAATGAGGGATTTGTCTTTGATGTATTAAACCTACATTTAAATTGTTGGGTTGCTTTGAACACCAAACATTATACAGAAGTGGTCACTATAAATAGCAAACACTATGAGAAAGTGATCAGCATAGACAATAAACACTACAGAATGATGAATATATGCAACAAACACTATACAGAGGTGGTCGCTTTGAGGAGCACACGCTACAAAAATAATTATAATCAACATACTTTTACTTACTTTTATCCTCTTCACCACTGATTGGCTCGTTAGCCGCTTGGGCGATCGGTCACGTCTCTGTTTACTTTTCCTTTTCTTTTAAACTCTTCACCAAATGATTGATTGACTTGTTGCCGCTTGGGCGTCGGTCACGTCTCTGTTACGCACTGTTGGCAAGTACTGGGCATGCACCGGCTCCTGAATGTACCTGAAAGAGCTCACACTCGGTGCCGTTGTGGGGGTATGAGATATTGGTTCACACTCAGGATGGGATGGAGAAAGGAAACTCACAATGTGCTCACTGTATACATATTGTATTGGATGTACAATGTAGCTTGTTGCTGGGTAGGTAGCATGGTAATAAGCATCGAGTAGAGAGAGCTGGGTGGTGAGGGTGCCCAGAGTGAGGGCACGCGGCTTGAGGGACGCCAAGGTCGCTGGCGGGAGCGGCAGCCGCATGGCTGGCACTGAGGAGGAGGTGTTGCTTGCTGGTGGCACTGAGTAGAAAGAGGATGGTCACAGCGGTGTCAGGCCTTATAAGGCAGGGGTAGGCGTGGGTAGATAGTTGACCCCCGCTCCGTGGGTGGCGCTGGAGGCGTAGGCTGGGGGATTCGAGAAGGTTCGGTGCTTGTAGGGGAGGAATCCACTACACCGTCACAACACTTTCTGGTAGAGTGTTTCAAGAGTCCACAACTCTCACTCCGAAAAAGTTTGCCCTCACAGTTTTCTGGACTTGCCGCTTCTTCAATCTCTATAAACAGTAAACAGTAAAAGAAGTGGCCATTATAAACAATATACACTATACACGAGTGATTAACATTGGCAGCAACTACTATATGAAGAGGATAAAAGTAAAAAGTAAATGGCCGCTATAAGCAGCAAACATCAAAATGAAACAGGCACTTAAAGCAGGAAACTAAAAATAAAATAGTTATAAGCAGCAAACACTATACTGTATAACAATGCTCACAATAAGCAGGAAATACGACACAAAATTATCGTTATATCCCACAAATACACAATACTGTAGCGTACTGTGTGTGGCCAGTTGTCAATTCTCTTTGGTTGTCTATTGTCTCTTTGTATGGGCTCACAAACATACATACATGTAGATATCTCACACTCAGGAATGAGGTAGAATAGAAGCAAACAATGCGTTTTCTGTATATATATATATTGTTGTACAGTGCAGTGCTAAGGAGTTACTAGGTGAGGAGTAGCTTGCTCAGAGGTCCTGTTGGGCGAGGAGCCTTCTGAGGGAGCTGGGTGGTGAGGAGTTGTAAAGAGGTCTTGCTGGTCCAGTAGGTCAGAGTAGAATGGTCTCCCTGGCCAGCCGGTCCCGTATTTATATGATTCTGGAGCATCAGGATTCAAGGCGTGCGTAGCGCGAGAGCCAATCACAGAGGAGAACGCCAGAAGTGCCCAGCACTCTGATCCTGGCATGACGTGGGAAGCTATGGCCTCTCCTGGGGTTGCTACGTGTGCATCGCTGGCTGTACGCTGATTGGCTGGTAGGAGAGCGGCAGCTCAGTCGTCAGTTGTAGGGGAGAGGATCCACTACAATACGTCATCAATGTACCCAGCAAACACTAAAAAAAAAGGTCCGTGTTATAAAAAAAACCCTGATGGAATATGCAATAACGGAAAATGGTTCACTAAGTAGCAAACACTATACAAACTGAAGCCTGGTGACACAACTACTTTACAGATGTGGTCGGTATAAGCAGCAAACATTGTACAGAAATTGTCTTATAAGCAGCAAACGCTATAACGTGGTCCGTATAATCGGCAAACACTATACAGAAAGTGGTCAATATAAACGATAAACTATAAAAATGGTCTGTATAAGCGGTAAACACTACAAAAGCGATCAATGTAAGCAGCAAACTATACAATAAGGGGTCGGTATAAACAGTAAACACGATACAAAAATGGTCTGTATAAACAGCAAATACTATACAGAAAAGGTTCATTTAAGCAATAAACCCTATAGAGAAGTAGTCGGTATAACCAGCAAGCACTATACAAAAAATGGTCTTTGTAAGTAGGAAACACTATACATAGGTGATAGATATAAACACTATACAATAATGGCCCATATAAGCAGAAAACACAATGGAAAAGTAGATGTTTTCAACAGCTCATACCACTGAGTAGCGATCATTAAAGCAGCATATACTATACAGAAATATTTGGGTTAAATCACTAACATTATAAAAATATGATTAAATATCTGCATGTGTGCAATGTTGGTTGCATTAGCCCTTACACATTTTTTTTTCATTTTTGCCACATATCAGATTACTAGCCATTTGGGCAGTCTATCCAGCTGCAGTTATATCAAGCAATGGTCCTCCCCACCCTGATGTATGGCAGCAAGACATGGGTCACTTACAAGAGGAACCTCAAGGCACTTGAAAACTTTCACCAATGTAGTCTACGTTCCATCCTCTGAGTTCGCTGAGAAGACAAGAGAACAAATGCCAGTATTCTCACTAACACCAACTGTAGGAGCATTGAGGCTACAATTATCCATGAACAACTACATTCGACTGGCCATGTTACCCGCATGGACGACAGTAGGCTGCCAAAGCAGCTACTCTACAGTCGCCTAACAAATGGTAAATGTAACGCTGGCAGACAACAGAAAAGGTAAAAGGACAGTTTTGAGACAAACCTGAAAAAGTGCCAAATTGACCCCCTCACCTGGGAGACAACCACTCCGCACCATAAAGGCAGTGTGTTGCCCGTTCTGTTGGCCAGACAACCAAGGCTTGAACCATTGACATATTGGTGAGTTACTCGCATACCATTATCACCAACTTCTATCTTATGTTTATACCGATCACTTCTCTCCACTGCTGCTGTATAATGTTAACTGCTTTTACCGCCCACTTGTCTATTGTTTGCTGTTAATACCGACCACATCTGTACAGTGTTTATTGATTATTCCGTATACTGTAGTGACTTCCAGTACTGTACATTGTTGTTTCGATGAATTACTGTACATAATGTTTGCTACTTATATGAGCACTTCTTGTAGCGCTCTTTATTTATACAGACCTAATGTTATTGTTTGTTGTTTATACAAGCCACTTAATTGTACAGTATTTGTGGCTAATAGCAATCATTTTCTCTAGTAGGTACTTCATTTATTTTCTTATACTGTACAACAGATCTGCCACTATATCAGGTTGATAGGTCTAAGTAATTATCATCAATGTTTTACGTCCATTTTCCACACTTACGTGGTAGCAGTTGAGTAAAATCAGAACAGGATGCCCCTCGGAACGGAATGTCACCTCCACTCACTACATTAAACCCAGGGTGCCAGTTCAGAAACTGCAATAGAGACCTGGCACAGTCGTGGTTATTCAGTTGCCATCAAAGATTACCTGTCTGCCTGCATAGTTTAAAACTCTGTTCTTTTGTCGAGGAAAGTGTCAGCTTTTGTGTAAATGATATTTAAATTGAAAATAGTTCGTAGTCATGGCTCTGAACATGATAATTGATCTGGCCTCATTGCATTCTCAACAGCTTCCTCCTCATTTACTCTATTCACCTTGGTGTATGGGGTGTGGTTAGATGTATACAGTAGTTATACATTATGAGCATCATCCAGGATGGGAGATTGACTCACTGTTCTCCCTGACCCATTTCTCTGGTTGAGCACTGTTGCATTTACCTCCACCACTGCGAATAATCCACCAGGGTACATCTATATTGTTTATTAAATTCTCTTTCTTCGGCTTCAAGTTCATCAGGAGTTTCTTGTGTTCTTCCTTCTGCCATGACCATAAGATCTGCACTTACGATGTAGGTATTGGTCTGGCTCTTAGTAATCTCTAGAACACTGGACAGTTTGTGTTGTAAGTACTGGTCTGGCTCTTAGTAATCTCTAGAACACTGGACAGTTTGTGTTGTAAGTACTGGTCTGGCTCTTAGTAAACTCTAGAACACTGGACAGTTTGTGTTGTAAGTATAGTTCTGGTCTGGCTCTTAGTAATCTCCACAACACTGGACAGTTTCAGTGTTGTAATTATTGGTCTGACTCTTAGTGGTCTCTACAACACTGGACAGTCCCCACTATAACACTTAGGACAGGAAATCTTGGGATATAAAAGGTGTTTAAAGATGGACTAAATTCACTCAAAATTAACCATCATGTATTGTACCACAGATGCCACACATGGTACAGTATCACGTGGTTGGATAGGTCTTACATCAAAGCTTCAGTTTAAAATTATTATAGCCATGTTACACAAGTACATTATTGAAATGACCGATACATTTAATTCACTTTTCAAGAGCACAATGAGCACTTAAAGAGAGAGATGAGAGGAGTACAGTACACATTTGTACTATGCAGTACAGTACTATAATTACGGTATAAAGAAAATATATATATTTTTTTTTACTAATCAAATACAAATTAGTTAATGCATATTTGATACAAGTCAAGGTAAAATAAATATGCAAATACAGTAACATTATTCTTGATTGATCTGCCACAAACTTAATTCTGAAATAAGGGTAAGAAGTTGTTTCAGACTAGTTTATTTAAGTGTGGTTAATGGCAGACAACCTGGATGTTAATAATAATAATGATATATTGGTGTTGTCAATGCCTCTCACCTTCATAAGTACGTATTATTATTCTTCATTACTGTACACTCTTACACATTACCTAACACAGTAAGTAAGTGTTCATGTCTTTTATTTAAACATATCAAAATTAACACATTGCAGTGAAGCCTCCATATAACAGACTTCTCTCTCCATATAATCCGTTAGATGTGAGATTTCACATCTAACGACTCCTCGATATAATGGGCTTTCATCTTTATGCAGTTCATTAGATGAAGGTTTCACATCTAATGTACCCTCAACGTTAAGAACCTTCCTCTCCATTTAGTCCGTTAAATAAAGATGTCACTGTAATACTAAACTGTTGAACAAAGACAAAAGGAATTGAATCAAATGAAAAACTGTCATGATAAACGGTACAGTACATCAACTTGTACACAATTTTGTATAGGTAACAGTAAAATAAAAGTATGTACTGTATCTGATTCAGAAGAGTTATAAAATTTAGTGATTCAGTTTGGAAGTACAGTACAGTACAGTATGTGAACAGTACTAAGAGAAGGTAATAGTCATTGTGAAAGACTCTAATGAGATAAAAATTAGTAAGGAAGGATGAAAGGCAGCAATTACTGTTTGAATGTTGATAAAATACAAGCTGTGTCAGAAAAATGTATACACACACTACCTTACAGACTTTTGTGATCATGTAAATGCTTGTATTACCAAAGCAACATTGTCCTCATTTGTGGGAGACCTCACACATCAACAAGTGAGAACAATGTTGCTGTTGTAAACTATTGTCCTCACTTGTTGATATGTCAGATCTCCCACAAGTGAAAACAATGTTGTTGCTGTAATAGAAGCCTTCATGTGATCTTCACATTAATATACAGTATATATAAGGTAGTGTATAATTTTTTTTTCTGAAACACCCTATAGAGAGAGTAAGGAGTTATGGATATGTTGAAGTATTCATTAACAACTGATGAATTAAAAGAGAAGCAGAAAGTACACTATAGTAATACAGGGGTATGTATATGTGTTAAGGAAGTAAAAGCTGGGGATATATTGGACCAGCAGTGAAGCATGGACCCTGAGTGTATGAGGAAGACACAACTCAGAAGTGACATTCTTGAGAGCCATGTGTGAGATGAATACAATGAGAATGGAGATGTGGAAATAATATCATTGTATAGAATGTTGACCAGGACGTAGTGTGTGAACAACAAGTGAAAGATTGATAAAAATGTAGAGAGTAATTCAAATTGGTAGGAAGAAGAAAGAAAGAAAGACCAAGAACTTAAGGAAGGATGGAATGAATGAAGTAACTTATGTGGACATCCAAGCAGCAGCAGTAGATGTGAAACTTAAGAGAATATAGACTTATGCAGAATATGGGAATGTCACAGCGGTTAATATGAACCGATAACATCAAACAGTGTGTGCTTGTTGGTGATTCCCACCACACACCAACGGTATACAAGATGTTAGCAGGAAGAGTCTTGGAAGACAAAAAAGTAGTAAGTGTATAACCCTGATGTACAGTACTGTGTGTGTGTAGGATTTTTTTTTTTTTTACGGGGATTAGCCCACCCGGGCACAGGTCATCGACCCACAACGGGGCCTTGGGCACGAAAAAGTAAGAATAGAAAGAAATTAAAAATAGAAAAGGAAAAGGTTATATTAATCTACACCACGAAGATGCTGGAAAACCAGCGTTATAAAGTGAGACAGATTGTATGAGTATGGAAACACAGAAGAAGGCAGAGCATTCCACAGTTTGGTTGTGTGAGGAAAGAAGGATGTACTATGACGGGTTATTATCGTGTGACCAACATCCACAGAGAAACGGTGGGCACCACGGGCAAGATGTGTGTTACGAACCTACGGCCTTGCCGGTAGTACACAGGATGTCAAATCCAAAGAACATTGCCCATTAAAGTACCTGTAAAAGAGAGTGAAGCAACATTGCGGCAAAGAGAAAGGGAAGAAAGATTGTCGA